CAGCAGCAGCAGCAGCAACAACAACAACAACAACAACAACAACAACAGCAACAACAATTGCAACAGCAGCAACAGCAACAAATGTACAATTATTCAGCTCGACCCCAACATTTTGAACAACAAAATCGTTATTATCCTAATCGATATCCATCAATGATGTCACCTTATTCTTCTTATCCTTCTTATCCATATCCATCACATAATCAAGTAAGATCAAAAGGATAATTAATTTTTTCTTTCAAATATTCATTTTCATCTTCTTCTTTTTTTTTCTATCTTAGCAATATCCGATGTCTCAACATTATAGTTATGCATCATCAGCAAGTTCTGCAGTTAATGTGTCATCGACACCACAACAAAATTCATCATCAATGATAATGACAGCCACATGTGCATCAGCGTCCTCCACTCTACCATCATCGATGAATCTAACTCAAAATAGTCATCCTTCATCATCTAATTATGGATCATCATCATCATCATCATCAACATCTTATGATCCACTTTCATCACATGTTACTCATTCACCATCGAATACAACAATTGGAACAGGAAATGTCTATCCTCCATCATACTATCGACAGTCATCGTTACCATCTTATTCAAATTCGTTACCTCAACAACAACAACAACAACAACAACAACAGCAGCAACAATTGGCGAGACAAATATCGTCGAATTATTCAATGACACCAGCTGTTTCTTCAAATCCAACGACATCAAATGTTAATTCTTCATCAGCGTCTTCGCCTGCTCCTCCATTCAGATAATAAATCATTTCACTCATATTATTATTATTATTATTACTACTATTATTTTTCTTTATTTGGCCCGTGTCGGATCTCACATCTATCTCTGTATGAATGTCGCTTCTCGCAATACGATGCAATCGCTACATACACACAAAGATCTACATTTTTTTTCTGTCTCTCTCTCTCTCTTTCGTTTATACAACTCTTATATACATAACAAGCCCGGTGCTCTCTTTCTCTCTCTCAATTCTATCTATTTTTGTTTTGCTTTGTCCCTCTTATTCTCATAAAACTTTGTACAAAATAACTTCTTTCATTCAGCTGAAACAAAACATCAGCGTGTGTGTACGTGTGCATGTGTGTTCGTAAATGTGTCATTCTTTTTTTTTCTTTTCTTAATGTCGTTGTTGTTTCTCTTCTTTTTTTCTTTCTTTTTTTTTCTTGATTTCTTTCGTTTTGTTCGATTAATTCGAATTTGTTAGATTTGTATTCACAATTGTGCAGCTTTCATTTCTCTACAAAAAAGCAAAATAAGATAATGAAAAGATTTCAAATCGTCACGATAATGTTGTCGTGTACATCAAATGTTTTTTTTTTCTTCTTTTCTATTTAATGAATTTCAAATGATGATCAATTGATAATGAAGTAGTTCTTCAAGTAAAAGTGAGCATTTTTATCTTAAAATAAATGTACTAGTTTCTGGTACATCTAAGTGAGCAATAGTATATCTGAGTATCCGATTACTCTTTATGTCATTATGTTCTTTTTTGTAAGGCCATCAAATAAGGATATCATGATTGTTTGTATCTTCTAAGTAATATGCTACTTAAATCGATACGATCGTTGAGAATGATATGATAATCATCATAGAATATATTGTTTTCTTACTCCCAAAGAACATTGGATATATGAAACTTGCTCTAATAATGTTTCAATAAACCAAATGTTGATGAAAAAACAATAGTTTCACTTAATCTGTATTGGAAGTTATATATAAAACATCAACCATGTACTGTATTATAAACTTTATCATTGTTAATAGATGTTTTTGTGAAATATGCAACAATTTAGATAGAAAAAATAGCCTTCATTTATCATAACTATTGTTTTGTTTTATTGAAGTTATTGTCTTAAAACGTGAGACACTTTAATAGATTATCCATATTTCAGAAGATTTCAAGTGTTTACCATTTGGATCAACATTTCGATATTGTATTCTCTATGTACGTATACTCTCAGAGATACGGAATCTAACAATCAAAGTTTATTTTCAGTCATATACATTAAATATCTCAAGTGACGGTCAACGCACTAAAACTTATTATGGAATGATCCATATAATCAAAGATACATTTAAACAAATAGTTTCGTAATGTTTATCATTGAAAAGACTAAAGTACCAGAGAAGAGTACAGGATAACCTTTTTATACCCTGTCCTACTGAAAAAAAATGAGTAAGAAAAGAAGTACACGCTGCCCTACTTTGTAAAACAACGTAATGCAGGTCATGGTGTCCTTCAAAGCTAATACACTCCATTAAATATTCTTATTCATCGACTTCAAGATCAATAACGTTTTCTAATCATATTATCATTTATTTCGTGTTAGGATATATTTGAAAATTATAATGATTCATACTTTATCTAAGCAAAAACCGATAAGTATTATCAAAACATAGTAGAACTAAGTCTAAATGATATAATTAATACACGTAACGTAAATTCGCAAGTTTTACTATTCACCTTGTGTTTCAATATTATATCTTGATGCGAGATCAAACAATTACTTGATCGAGAAATTTAACAGATTTTCTAAGCATCAAATTTTATTTGTCGTAAACTAAAAGATATTTACTATGGAATATAAAATATGTTAAATATAAATGTTATTTAAAGTAGTTAATATAGTATTTATATATATATATGTTTATAGCAGGTTAAAAAGATAATATTATTGAAAAAAATTACATCATGAGAATGAAACAAGTGGTCCATGTCGATCAATTCGAGCAGAAAAAAGTGATACATTTGGAATGTTTTCTTTACTGATTAATTCTTCACATTTTCGAGCATCACCTGATGTTTTAGCAAGAGCAGCAAGAAATCCACCACCACCAGCGCCAGCCAGTGTAACTCCTAAAACATAATAAATAAATAAATAAAGATACATTAAAAAAAAGTAATATTTACCATGAATATATGGAGTTAGAAGGTCAATTAGTCGACGACATGTTTCTGGTTCAGAACCAGGAGCAACACGTAATTTTTGTTGCCAATACATTGACATATATTCACCCAATTTTGATAAGTTACCTAAATAATTTTATTTCAATGAGATAACCTAGAAAGATATATATATTAAAATAACCTTCTTCAATAGCTTCAGCTGCTTTTAACGCATTTTCTTCAAGTTCATCAAATAATTGACTGATTGCACCCGAATACCAATTGCGTAAAACTGATTGTAAAAGATTTCGTGCTAATCGTGTTTGACCTGTATAAACAAGTATTATTTGTTCATCAAATTTATTCCAAAATGTTGTATTTTGATTATCTTTAACATTAAGTTGACGCCATTCAACTTCAAGTGGTAATTGTGCATTCGATCTCCCTAATTTAAATGCTGGTAATAAACCTCCAACTTGATCTTGCCAACCACCACCTGTCGTCATCATTTGTTCAACAACCAAAACACCATCTAATTAATATTTCTTTCAATTGATTTTATATATATGAAAAGGAAAACAATAACTTACGAATAACCATACTATCTGTAATATTTTCTACTCCAATAAGATGCCATAATGCTAATAGAATACCTCCAGCTAAAATTGAACTTGTTCCAAGACCTGACCCAACAGGTACATTTGACCAAGCTTCAAGTATTAAATTATAACCAGATAAATTCTTTTTTAATTGTTCACTTAATGTCATTTCTTGAGTCGTATTTAAATCAATAATACCTGTAAATATACAACATGTTTTTAATAATGCACAAGGACGTTGTGGTTGATTATAATCTGTAAATTGCGATAATGTATGAAATTCATATATTTTATCATCTTTTTCATTGTCACTCTTGAGAATAAATGTTACAAATGGTGTTGTTGTTATTGTTTCTACGAGACGTGCACGTGCACCTATAGGTCGTCGACCATCTATTGTAATAGCAACATTTAATACACTACCACCATGTTCATAACAAATTGGTGGTGTATCAGTCCATCCACCAGATAAATCAAGACGTACAGGACATTCAACTGTAACTTGTCGATGTTTTATATGAGATAAAATTGTTTTACTATTATTTTCAATGCTACATTTTGATCGACAAGTTAATACACCTTGTTTAATCAATGTTTGTGTTGCGCCTAAAATAAATAACAGAAAATAAATTATTATTATACTTTCTAAGAGGTAAAAAAATAAGATTTCATGAATCTTTTTTTATTTTATAATAAATTTGAAATATAAATATATCTTACCATCATAATGTCGAGCAGCTCGTATTAAAAGATCCGATCTATCAATCCATAATTGTCTTTGTTTAATTAAATGTTGAATACCTAGCAGATATTTTCCTTCTTCAAACATTAAAAATGCATATTGCCATTCACGGTTAAGATATGGTCCAGATCGAAGACCAGCTTGATCACCACCAGCCATTTCAGCTAATGTATTAGCAATTGCTGAAAAAAGACATGATAATATTTGTAATTTATTGGAATTATCTAAACATGCACGATCAAATGCATCAAGCATATCTCTACTATGTCCATCAGCAATTGTTTGTTTTAATAATGCTAAATATGAATCATTTGTTTTTTGTTTACTACCATGTAGAAATAATAAATTAAGAATTTTTTGTCGAGATATTGTATGAAATAAATTTTGACGACGTGTTATTTCTTTAAAAACATTCGCATGAATTAATATATCATGAAGTGATAAACGCCAAGATGATTTCCATTGTTGAAAAAATATTTGTGTCGGATTAAAAAACCAAAGTAAATCTTCATTTAATGATGAAATATTATTAAAATGTAATACAGGATAAAGACGAGCATTAGCTAATGTTCGTTTTTCTGGATTATTCTAAAGCAAAAAAACAAAAATAATTCAAATAGAAATATTTAATAAATTTATATTATTACTTGTAAATCTGGCCATAAATCCCAAATATCAATACCAGTTTGTTGTTTAAATTTATCCCATGACATATTTAAAATAGTAAACTTTTCATTTGTAAATAATCGCTTAACATCATCATGAATACCAATAATTGTATATACATCCAATTGATTATTCGACATTTCATTCATTGTTTGTAATGATAAAATAATTCTTTGAATAATAACATCAGATGGAATCGTTAAATGAAAATTCTTTAACGAAAAGAAAATTAAAATTAAGGCAAAATATATTAAATGAAATTTTTTCTTTACTTTTTTAGAAAAATCAACAGATTGAATAGCACAATTATCTCCTAATGTTACTCGATTTCCAACAATTGAATTATGTATTGTTATATTTTTACCTAGATTACATTCATTATGAATAATACTATTAATAATAGATAAGTTTTCTAATTCCATTTGTTTCTTCTCATCAATGATTGAATGTTGAATTGGTAACCATTGAATATTATCACGTTGAGAATGAATATTATCTTTATTTAAATAAGGCCAATGAGCATCAATATATTGAAAATGACACGAATCAGGAAGAATTTCTATATTATTTAATATGAGATATATAAAAAGATTGAAGTAAACAAGTGTTTTTTTTCTTACCACATGTAAATTTTGTTTTTCCATTTAATTGATTCCATAAAAATGTTTTCGATTGTTTTATTAAATCATTTGTAATATGTTGATAATGTAATGATAAAAATTTTTCAAATGAAATATCAACACAAGCCGCAAGAATAAAATCAAAATACAATGATAACTATTGTAAAACGAAAATCAAATAAAACAAAAAACAATGAGAAATTTATAAATATACTTGATTTGGTTGCGAACCATTATCAATACCTTCATATGTACAACCATCGAGTGGTGGAATGCGATGAAAAGCTAAATAGAAATCGATGATTTTATTATCTAATTACTTAAAAAAACAAATTGTATTTTACTTATTAATTTTTCAGCGAAATTAACTGAAAAATAAAGAATACTACATGCCTAAAATCAAATTAAAAATAGTTTTAAAGTTTTACAAAAAACAATTTTACTTACAACTGGTACTTTATGTTCATTATTGGCAAGTTTTGTCAACTCATCCATCGATGCTTGATATAAAATATTTGCAACAATATTCTAAAAAAAGAATCAAGAAACTGAACATAGTCTAAATATAAAAAATATGTTTTATCATACGTTATCTTTGTCAACAATGTAAACACCATGTCCAGTTGCATATTGAACATCTTCTAATGTGGCTAAGGCATGAATATCAGTATTTACTGGAATTTTAATACCTTGAAAAACAACAACAACAAAAACAAATGAATATATACACATTATTGTCAATATACCAGTTTTTGGTAATGTTATAAACGCATCTGTACTACTAACCCATACACCATATGGTAATTCGCTGGAAGCAATCTAAATATCTTTTTTTGTTGTTTTAAAAGATGTTCAAAAGAAAAAAAACTTTTACGAGATTATTGAAATCATGTAAAAGTAAATCTAAGTTTGTTAAAAGCCATGGACGATGTGGTCCAAAACGAGCAGGTAATGTTGCTAATGAACGATGACAAGCGTCATATGGAAATGTACGACCCTTTATTTATAAAAAAAAGAAAGACAAAGATAAATAATATTAGATTTTAAAAAATAAATCAAATTTACTGAATGTAGAATTAATATATGAGCGGAATGTAGTACATTTGTATTGACAAGCTAATAAGATAGATATTATATATATTTTCAAGACAAAATTATTAACTTACAGAATAGCCAGCTTTGGCACTAAGATGTTCTGTAACAACTAAGAGTGCATTTAAAGTTGCTCCACCACTACCTAATTTCTCTTGAGGATCATTAACCGTCAGTATAGTAGTTGATTTATCGATTAATCCATAACGTTGTCGTTGTCGAAGAACTAGAAATAAAATTAAAATATATTAATATTAAAACAAAATAGAATACAAACTAAAATCAAATGCATAAGCAGTTTCTTGATCTTGTGCAGTAACTACAATAACTGTCCAGTTGGAATGTTGTACATAATTACTTTTCGACAATGACATCTAGAAAGAAAAAATATTTAAACAACTAAATTATTGTTAGATATGTCAAGGATTTCAGAAATATATTTTTGTTTATTTCGAGAAACTTTATATTCTAATTTGTTTGTTTAATTCGCAAAAGGTGACATATTTTATCTAAAACAAAAAAGCCAGATATTCTTAGATTTTAAATTATTCATAAGTGTTTTTTTTTGTCATACATAAAATTCTATTTATTATTAATACGTAATGTTTAAGATTGATAAAAACATAAAGATATTCACAATCTCGAAATTAACTAAAGCTCTATGCAGAATTTGTTCTTTTTTATTTAAATATGATATAACAAAAATCATAAGATAAGAAAAGTATCATTGTTGACAAAATTCTATTAGATACGGATACATTAAACATATTATCTTATACTATGCCAAAGAAAAAGAAGTACATATCAAAATATATCTTTAATATTTGGTCACGTACTCTAATAGTTCCGTTATTGATAACAATATATATTGTTAAACCTTTTGGGTTATATTTAGCTATTCTATTTACCAAAAAAAAACAATATTTTTCTTATCTAAATGTTTCTTTGTTAACTTCGATTTTCATATGCAAGTCAAACGTATATAGATTGAAGTTAACTTGCCCTTTGATACACTGTATTGGATTACAAAAAATGCTTCATTGGATAAGCTCTCAACGATAGAACTTCTACAAAAAAATAAAGACGATTAGTTCGATAGTATGATATTACTATTCAATTAATTATTAAGCGATATTAAAGAATGTAGAGCAAAAAGTTATATATATATATATTTGGCATTGAGTGATAGATGTGATTAGATAAAATGATAAATATAACTGATATAGTTTTTAGATTTTAATCAATTTTTATAATCTACAGAAATACTTTCTATAATAAGCGTTACTGATTAGTAATTTATTACATTAAAATGAAACAATTTTCGCCATAGAGTTATCTTTAATATATATTTTTTTTTCTGAAAAAAAAAGAGATTACAGTCCTTTTTTTCTCTCTTTCTCTCTTTTTTCATTTCCTATAGTTCATATAAAATATTTTTAAAAACAAGACGACATCGTTGTGCTTATAACACTTATAATATCTAGACTATGAATAAAATCAAAGAGAAAGAGAACCGGTTAAAGAGAAATATATAAAAAAAAAAGAAAGAAGATGTTTCACCGACCCAGATGATAACATCCGACAATAGTTATTTTGTGAGATCAATAATGGCACTTTCGACTTTATCAGAAAGAAAAACAAAAAAATACAAACTCGACACATCTCGATTAGAAACAAGCGCAACAAGAAAATAGTATTTTCATATAAAAAATACAAATGAAAGTGCATCACCGACCTTGATTTAATCAAGGTTTCCGTCTTTTTTTTGCTAACCGCTATACACAAAAACATACACACCGTGGTTTGATCCGACTTGACTAGCTCATCATACGTTGAACGTAAACAAATGAAGAAAGAAAGAAAAAAAGAAGAAGAAAAAAAAGGAAGAAGACAAAACGAAAATTGATTGTATCGAAAGCAGAAGAAGGATGAATAAAAGAAAAAGAAAACTATGGAAAAAAAATAATAATAATAAAAAAAAGATCAACTGTTCTGTTTTTATCAAAGAAGAATTTTTTTTCAGTAACAGTTGTATAATACACCATATAGTATTATTTGTTTGTATTATTGTATTTGTCGTTTTCATTATTATCGCAACGAAATCGTTTATTAGCTAAATATAAAAATATGATAAAATTTAATATCACGAGATTGTTCTTCTTAAACTTACTGGACGATGATGATGATGGTGGTGGTGGCAAAGTTTCAATATCAACTTCTGAATCATCATCTTCACTCGATCGACGAGTAGATGAATTTGTATTATTTGATAATACTGGTGTTGATGATGACGATGATGGTGGTGGAGTTATATTAGCAGAATACTGTCGAACAATGGGTATATGTGGTACAAAAGCGCTAGGTGATTGATTTGAATTGACTAGTAATGATGTTGATGTCGATGATGGTGATGGTGTGGAAAATGATCGAAGTGTCGGCATTGTATTTAATACATTAGGTGCTACTTGCATCATTGGATGATAGAATGCTGACATATGTGGTGGTAGACCAGGATAATCAAGACCACTTTGATACAATTCTGCAAGAAATGGAATTGGATTAACTGGAGGAAAACTTCCCATTGAACCAACAAATCGTTGTACATGTTGATAAGCATGTGGTTCACGCATTTGTGATAAATGTTTTGAACAATACCCATGTCGTTGGGATTCTTTTTGACATTGATCCATACCACATAAACGACGCCATTGTTTTCCATTGAATTTTTTACGTATACCCGTATTACTTAAAAAAATAAGAGCAAAAGAAAATAAGTAAAGAAAAAAATAAATAAATTTTTTTTCCTATTACCCCATTGTAAATATATCTCCTTTTTTTATTCCTTGAAATTTATTATTTGTTTGTTGGTCTTTTTGTAATTCTCTTTCGACATCTTCATCATCATCATCATCTTTATGTTCGATTGGTGGTGTTGGAAATGCTGTCTGTTGTGGTGGTGGCTGTTGTTGTTGTTCGTCTATATTATCATTATCAGTAGACACTTTAAGTGATATTGGTCGAAATACAGTTGAAGCAGATAAATTTTCACGATACAGACGTAATTCTTCATGCCATGGTTCAACTAATAAACGAATATTTTGTCTTGTAAACCATTTATTTCCATCATCATTTTCATCTTGATATATTTCATTGCGATTATTATTATTCGTATCTTTTAAATCTATTGAAAATTCTAAACGTTTTGAATGTTTAGATTGTATACGACCACATTGAAATTGATTTGTTTTACTATTTCCTATTTGTCGAACACATACCTCTGTACCAGCAATAAGATCCTGACATGCTGGAATATTATCAATTATAATTGATGGTAAATGATTACAAATAGGTCGATTTAAATCAACTGTTATTGTTGATGATTGTTCATCACGAAGTGATACTGTTACAAGATGAGAATCGATTATATCGAGAATTATACCCATATGATATATATTAAGATTCTGATTATCAAGTACAAGTATACTTTGTTGTCGCCATTGATTAGCATCTAATGTAAAAGACGACGTTGATGATAATGGTGAAGGTATTGATGAACAACTTTGTTGTTGCCAACGTTTTTTTGGTGGTGACACCTCGTCGTACGCCATTTAGTGTACGTCTAAAATAAAAAAAAAGAAAGATAAATACTTTCCTACTCAAAATACAAGACATGTAGTATTATTATTATTATTCGTTTTTCTTTTTGCAATTCGATAGGATAAAAATACAGGGTGTGTGTGTGTGTATGTGCATGGAATTTGATGATGAAAACAGTTTTTTGATGATGTCGATAGGGGGAAGAATGATTGTTTTTGTTACTTTTTCGTTTATTTTTTTTTCTCAAGTACTATTGCTTCTATAGGTTTGTACGCAATAGGAATTTTTCAGCTGTTTATTATCAATAGAACGTAGACTATGAAAGCCTTATCCTCCTTTTTTTTCCCTCTCTCGATAAAAAAAACATTACGAAATCATCTGTATACAGAAGAACAAAAAAGAAGGAAGAAAAAAAGTTTTATGTTGAAAAGTACGCTTAAAAAACAGATGGAGCACTGCTGATAAACTACATCAAAAAATTTTAAATGCAGACGCGTCGACCTCTAAAATAAAAAAGAAGAAAAAGAAAAAGAAAAGAAGATTTGCTCTCATCAGCTGATACATTTTTGTTTTCTTTTATTTTCTCTATCTCACTTCGTGCGCATCGATCTACTATTATCGCTAGTGTTGTTTTTGTTATTTGAAATAAGTTGTATTTTGTTAGTATATGATACTACAGTTTGCTCGCACACATTTCGCACTATATAACGTACGATGCAACAGTCGTAGAATGAAAACAACATCTGCCTACTTCTTTTCATCTGACATACAATATCGTAGCGAACACATATGTTAGTATGTGTATAAAATCAGTTCTCTTCTACTCGCTTGAGCGACAATGAATAAAAGCAAGAAAAAGAAAATATAGGCGAATAAAGAAAAGAATAAGATTGACAGTAATATTGAAAAAAACAACTATTTTTCAATTTGCTTTGTTGCCTTTGAATAGACGAGAAAGCTTTAAAACAAACAAACGTTAAAAGAGAAAAATATAACTTATCTATGCAATCTACAAGTGTACAACTAAAATAATAATAAAAACTGCAATGCTATACAAAAGACGTACATGTCGGAGACGCAAAAAAAAACGAAACTATAGACTAAAAAACACATATTACGTAGTCACTGATATTTTGTTTCTATTTCTTGTTTTCGTAAAAGAAAAATATAAGAAAAAAAAATATTGTAAACGCAACAGAGATGCAAAAGGTGTATGTTAGTGATATCATTACTACACGTATAATCAATCGTCATGCAATAGAATAACGAACATGCAGGTAATGGTAATTTCTGTCAAAAATATCATATGAATATATTTGACTAGTAAATTTTATATATTTCTTACCGTTCAATTAATTTTTTCTATATAACTAGGGTATATTTCAAGAGAAAACAAGAGAAAAAAAAATACAACGAAGGGTAAATAGTCACGGGAAGTACTCTATTAATTTTTATAGAAAACAAATTTTTCAAAAATGAGTATGAATCTCAATAATAAAGTGTAATTGTAAAGATATGCCTATTTATAGAATAAAAACCTACGATGACGAAATAAAACGAAAGAGAGACGCAAAAACAGGACAAAAAACGACTGCGGTAGCATATAAATGTCTCTCCCTTACTCTATAGGTTTCTCTTATTTTTCTTCTCTTTTCACGCGTCCACAGTATGTCTAGCTATCGGTTTTTTTCTGTTTCTTTCTCATCGATGTTTTTGCCACATTCTCTCTTACATTCTATGTTTTTTTGCTTCTTATATATACATATATACATACATATATATATATATATATATGTGTGTATATCGGCACGATCTGAGTTTGTGGACAAATTGCAAGTTGCGCAAGGATATGTATATGTCATATAGAGAGTGGATTCTTTGACTTACACATACGCACGTAGTTGCGTACGTACACATTTAGTGATTGCGTTCTTTTTTTTTTCGATTTCTTTCTTTTCTTATTCTTCTCCTTTCTTGTTGTCGATACGATGTTGTCGTTAATAGTACCGTGATATATATGTGACAGCAAAATGCTACGTATCATTGCCCGATTAATATCATGTTTTTTTTTGCTTCTTGTCAAAGAATAGTATGTATTTATTTCTTCTCTGTGTGTAGAGGAAGTCTCTCTCTCTCGTATAGAAATAATTTACCTTTAACGATGAGTAATTCTATCATTTCATTTACGTAAAAGGAAATTTACATATACTTACATGAAATTTTCTATATCAATTGCCATTTTTGATTAATATGAAAAAAAAGAAAAACGAAACTATTAATCTAAAAAAATGTTTATTGAAATAAAAGAAAACAATATTAATAACAAAACAAATAAATTTTCAAATTCACATTATTTAGTTTTTTTATTTTCTATAATTAATTTAACAAGTTCATTTCGACATTGTAAATTTTTAATTTGATTTAATTCAATCTCAATTGCATCATTTGATTTTATTAAATCAATCTAACCAAAAATAATAATAAAGATAAAAATAATTAAAAATCAACACTTTACTTGACTAATTAGTTTATATAAACTACCAAATAATGAATGATTTATATTTTCGAAAAGTAATAATCCATGTTTTATTGATTGACAATGATCAGTATCAAGAATATATTTGCACGGAAGAAAATAAACATTATCTACAACAAGAAAATAAAAATCAAAATTCTTTAAAAAAAGTTTTACAATTACCAGTTGATAACTGATTTATACGTTCGAAATTAATATCCATATTTTTCATTTCATTTAAATGAAGAAGTAATACATTGGACGAACCTATAGATTAATCATATAAAATAGTAGGAAGAAGAAAAATTTTTTGTTTTTTTTTTTGATTTTAGATATTTATCAAGAGCAATCACACACAGTCAATAAAGCGACAATCAAACACAATCATTATATGAATTACTTACTAATTATTTAAAAGAAAGATGCTTTAAAAAAAATGTGGATATGTAAAAAAAACATATTTTTATGAAAGAAAAATTCTGAAAATAAATACCTGACATTTGACATTGCCCAAACATTCCGATAATTTGTTTGGATTGAAATTGATCAAATAATGACCATAATTTATCAAAAGAATTTATGAATATCATATTTGGATTTAAATAAACAACACGATCAACATTTAATATTGTCTAAAATAATTCTCATTTATTACTGATTAGTTAAACAATAACACTAGATGATCAATATTGAAAACAATGTATAGGATTGTTCTTTTTACGAGCTATAGTATATTTTCCATTGATTCACTCGTTAATCAAAACTAAGAAATTGTAAAAAGCCACTGTCATTTGTGACTTGTTCTATTGACAATGATTTATTTTCGACACATCTTTTCGGTTAATCATATTCTTACACTAATTAATGTAACTACTATACTACAAAATACTACACATATGAGTAGTTTAAGCAATTATTATGATTTATATTCTTTCTATTGTAAAGCTTTGAAAGAATATTTACTTTATTTGAAATCTTAAAAAAAGACATTCGGTCAGACTGACAAAACATTTAGCTCATCCGCAGCGAAAGCCCTTGAGTCGAGCTAGGTGGTCTATTTCGAGGTTTTAAATCTAGTAAAAATATCTCTTTGTTATCTACGGGATATTTTCCTTTAAAAAAACATCAATCCGTCATTAAGTAATTTTCTATTTATAATCATAGTCGTCTACGACGGAAAGAGAATTTTACGATTCAAAAAGCATTCTTCATCTTACCGAGAGTTGAAACGGATGCGTTATTGTAGAATTGTAATAGGTAATCAAATAATCCATTGATTCAATCTAAATAAATTCATCTATATAATTCTATACACTTTTTATGTCGAATATATTTACTTGTTTAGAAAAATAATTTTGACTATGATTATCTGTTAAAATAACATGTAAATGTATTTGATTATTAGTATTATTTGAAGAAAATAATAGAAGAGATTTAAGAAGAACATGCGATTGTTCAATAAAATTCCAATTGTCATTAAAAATAAAAGCAATATGAAAGATCTTTTTAAATGAATGATCTAACAATGAGATTTCTTTTGATAAATGTTTTGTAAATAATTCTGAAGCTTTGCCACAATTTGTTAATGAATAATTTTTTAAATTAGTTTTTATTTGTGATAATAATGAAAGTTTTAAATCTGAATCAAATTTCCAATTTTGTATAACTTGATAGATAGCTTTAAATTCTTGATATTTATCATTATGAAATGCACTACGACAACCATGAAGAATTTTAATACCATCTGTTTTAGCTATTTGACAATTATTTTCATATATACAATGATCAGGACGATAATTCCAATCACAACTAAATTCATATATTTGCTCTGAAATAAAATCATAATCATTTTTATTGATTTCATCATCATAAAAAACAAACTTTACCTGGATAATAATTAAAATAAATATTCAATAAACATTGATCACCCCAAGTAATATTCATGTGGTACTCATCGAAAATATCCATTATCTTTGAAATCATATCGACTTGACGCATACGTGTTAAATTCATTAACATTACACCGGAATTCAGTCCTGTTAAAAAAAAACACATAAAATCAACAGCAGTATAAAACATAAGGGTCTAGATCGATTCGATTTTATAATTATTCCGAATTATCATATTTAGTAGTTTTATGAGAAATGACTATGAATTTTAATTTAATTAAAAATTAAGATTAGAAATAAAAAACGAATTGACATTCTTTTCATGATAAAATCGATCATTTGCTACATTCGAAAAAGAACTCTTGTTTTTCTCTAAAACTATCTACATACTAATGTTGAATGCCTGCTTGCCTGCTACCGGGTCAAAGGTCAAAGGTTAAAAAAACATCAGTTACATTCTTATGGCTTGAGAATCGGTAGAATCAGTGGGACTGGGTTAAATAGAGTAAGAGTGGGTAAAACAGGGTAGGAGTGGGTGGATTAAGTCGAAATGGGTGAAGTAGGGTACGAGTGGGTGGATTGGGTAGAAGTGGGTGGAAGGGGATGGGAATAGGTTTGGAGTGGATGATGTAGTTTTTAAGCGCATCTCTGATAGTAAGCTTGTCTTTTAAGAGAAACACTCTTATTGATGATTATCTCTTTCTTTAACTTACCCATTGCTCCGTAATATGGATGACGTGCAAAACGATTATACCAACCCATAGATGGATCTTCATGTTCTGCTGTTAATGCAGCTAATTGGGTTGAATTAAATTTTCGAAAAAGACGCCATAAACTTCGTACATTGCTTAAAAATAATGTGTCTGTATCGACATAAATGACTGAATCAATATTTTTCAGTACATCCTAAAAGCAAAAAAAAACAAATCATTTCAATTGATTTTACTTTTCTTCCCGAAATATTTAACTAACAGGAATAAATAATCGTTGTGTACAACATGGTTTAAATAATGTTCTCCATTGTTCATCATTTCCACGTGTAAATTGTATTGGATAAAATTCAATTTGAAATTTTGATTGATATTCCACAGGCCATTCCAAATCAATCTTTTAATTTATAATTAAGTAATAACAAAAACAAAATTTTTTAAATAAATATTTTACTTTTCGTAAAAATTCTGCTCGTAAATGATCTTCAGTAAAAATATGAAAAATAAGTGGTGATGGTGTAAATATTAATGAAGATTTTAATGCATTTAATGCTTCGTCAAGTCTATCAAAAGAAGTAAATATAGTAGATAAAACTTTTTTTCTAATTTCTATACCTATAACCACATACAACAATTGTTAAATGTATTGGTTTTAATGCATAAATATTTGTATGTAAAAAAGTTAATAAAATTAAATAATTTAAATTCATCTACGAACAAATCAAATTCAATATTTGTTTGCTGTTCATCTTATTGCATCAAAACACAAAAGTAAAATCTCCACAAAACATTTATACACAAAAATGAAAAAAATAGGCCAATCGAAAGGATAACACACAAAATACCAAAAAGAAAAAGAATAAAAATATACGCAATACTGTTTTTTTGTCATTCTCTAACAAAATCAATTTATATTTTTGGTTTTTTTTGATAAAATAGAAGAATAAACAAGAGAAAGAAAAAATAAATACATACACAAGCACACATATATATAAAGATATATATAAACTAATGACTTCGGCATTTGAAAATGACTAGGAGGATGAAAAATCGAACGTAATCATTTCTAATACTGATATAGAAAAATATGGTGATGAACAAAGTGGTTCATTATTGAATGTTTCACAATGAGCTGTACGACCTTCGCATAATGATGCATCAATACATAACCCATCACCATTACTAAAATAAACAAAAATCTAATGAAATATATAATTTTTGTTAATTTTTACCCTCCACCAATAATTATTTTTTCATTATTAACAAATAGAAAAAGTTCTCGTTTAAGTTGATGTTGTCGATTATCACTGTCTTGTTGTTGACCAACCCAAGAATATCTCGTTTGTTTTGGTAAAAGTGTGAATAAAAATGATTCACCAAAACCAAAATATGTTTTATTATGACGATCAGACCAAAGTCCGGCACAAAATCCACCAAATATCTATTCAAACATAAGAAAAACCAATATATTAGTACAATGAAAAATTCTTTCGTCCTCCGTTGTCAATTTCCGGAAGGATATAGCAAAAAACATTTCTTTCTTTAAATCAAATCAATTTTCTAAATTAAAATTACCTCGCCATTTGTTGTTTTAATAATTAATATTGAATATTCGATTTCATTTATTTTGTCTAATAATGTTTGTAAACGAAATCCATGTTCTTGGGTAGTAAATACTAAATGAGGTTGAGTAAGACTTAAACGTACTGGTAACCAATTCCATAATGTTACAAACTAAAATATATAAAGAATTAATTCGAAATAATTAAATAATTAATCCAAAAAAAATACTTGTTGATGATCAAGTACAGATGTTTTTGGTATTCGTGTAAGATGTTGTGGAGTAATAAATATTGATTGATGATTATTTATATTTCCATTATTATTTAAATTATTATTAGAATTTATATTAATACTATTTAAATTATTTGATTGATCAAGTTCATCTGGTCGAGAAGAATGACGAGTACTATGTAATAATTTTTCTTCATGATCAACTAATTGTTCTATTGTACTTCGTTTTAAATTTCGAATATGAAATGCAGCCTAAATAAATAATTTTATTATCAAACAATGAAAATATCTATGTAAACTTTTCAATAGTTGAAAGTTTGTTTCCCTTCTCTTGATTGTTGCTGTGTGATTTTTTTTCGAAGCAGTGAGTATAGTATCTCAAATAGTATATCAATGAGTAAACATCTTACAGGATTTTCATGAAATGATACCATACTCATATGACTTCCGTTTTACTACAAATTTCTATATTTATTCCATCATGAGTAATTTCTTTATCGGAACTCGAAGATTCAAAGTTCATTCCATTGAGTAAATTCACATTCTCTTTTTTTATAAACCTCTGATCGTTTTCGTATGCAAAAAGACAGACAGATGAAAATAGGCTAAGAAATTTCGTTGTCTTATCTTTCATAGACTATCTATAACATATCAAAGAACGAGAAACTAACATGCAAGATCCTCTTCACAAGACCGTTAGAAATAACAAATTGTGTAGTGACACAGGGAAGAGAGTGATGAATAATTGATAGAAGATAATGAAAATATTACTAAGAACATGTATTAAAAGTTAACTCTCTATAGATATGCACGTATCGAAGAAGTTTTCTATCAAAAAGAAACTGAATCGTGCCGAATGTGTGAATCATACTTAAACTATGTTTATTAGTATGAATATCATTTATGTGGAGACATATATTGAAATATATTGTGTATTATAATATTTACATACCCGTAAAAGTTGATCAATTGATATAGGAATTTGTTGGCAAAAATCAGCCATATTTCGAATACTTCCACTCGATTCATTTTTGACCGCTAGATAATAAAAATTCAAAATAAATTTCATATAAATTAATCACATTTAATTAAAATATCCCTAGAAAAACCCCTTTTCAAAGCATTAAATTAAATTAAAGTTAAAAAAAATAACATGGTTAGTATTCATGCATTTTCTAAAATGCCCAAATGTTAGTATAAACTTATTATTTCAATACATTATAAACGAATAGATTGTTGACTATAAAATATTGTATAGAAATAAAACAAGCATTGTATTTTTTCAAAGTGCATATATAGAAAAAAAAAGTGTGAATATTTACACAAACAATTGTACGAATGAGGTTCTATAAAATGATAGAGTGGAATAGAAAAAAAAGGAACTATTGATATTTCTATTTATATATATATATATAAATTATGATTGATAAATAACATACTTTTAATAAATAAATGAACCAGTGCTAAACCAACACGATATAAAATTTTTGGGCCTTCAAGAAAGAAACAATCCATAATTTTTACCTATATTTAAAAATGAAATAAATTAAAATTCCAAAAAAAAATAATTCTTTCATACAAGATAAGAAAATGGTAAGTAACGGAATATCCACCAAAACCATTCTTGATAGAATATTTTTGTATTTGGATAACGTAATTCAATTGCATCAGCTGTTGATTTCTATAATAAAATAAATCATAGATATTGTTTATTTAGAGAAAAAACAAAATTTTATTTTACATAATAAAGTTTTAATAATTTTTTAAATACATTACAATTTGCTTCCCATTGTAAACGTGTTTCACCACATAACCAATGTTTAATTAATAAACGATTAATTAAATATAAAACTTCATGTTCATTAAAATAATGTAAAAGTAAAGATGAAAATGGTTCTAATGCAGGACAATAGGTTAAATCAGGATGATGCAATGCAAATGTAAATAGAATACGTTGTAATAATAAACGTCCCGATGGTTCAGTTAAATGATAAAGACATATATTAGTTGTATCAACATAATTTGGCCATTGATTAAATTTTGATGTTAAAGAAAATAGACTATTATCAATTGTTACTGATAATGTGGGAATAGGTATTTGTGATAGATGACGATGTTCATTTTGTTGTTTGGATGTGCTAACTCGATTTAATGTTAATATATTCATCCATAATTGTCGACGTATAGAATTATCAATAGACCATATTGTTGAACGTATTATTGATTTAAGACGATTGAAATCATCATCAGTTATTGTTTGTGATGATATATTTATAGATGGATCATTTGTATTTAAAAAATGATTACTTGTATTATTTGAGGAAAGAAGATCAATAAGATCTTTATGTTTAGAAATATTTTGATGATGTTGTTGTTGATGTGATAGTTGTTTTTGTAATTGAACTATCGTATCATCAGCAATAACATCATTATTGAATGGGTGGCTATTGCCATCCGCCATTCAAACATCTAGCTCGGTTCAAATGTGCCTAAAATAGACGAGAACAAACAAAGATAGATTATGAAGTCTAATACAACCAAACAAATAAGTCATCATATTTTTCTTCTCCGTTCTTTTCTTTTTTTTTTTCTTTTTTTGCTTTCCCATTTTTGGCTTATCAGATAAGTGTGACCAAAAAACTTGCTTTTTCCTCTCTTACTTTCTCTTTTCCAGTTTTCTGCCGTCGAAAGTCAAGTAGTTGAGTAAACAAGAATGATCGATCGAGACAAAAGAAAAAATGCGACAGAAAATGCAAAAAAATAGTTCTTTTATTACTTATATCCTCTATATATATATAGCGAAAGAGAGAGAGTTCTCATTCACTTTTTCTTTTCAATTCGTCTATCTCTTGTGTTCGACACTATTAATGTTACTACATCGAATAAACCAATTTGTTCATGCGTAGTACTACTCCTTACATCGTTTAACAATTATTATACGTCTTTATACTTGTATATATCGCACCCTACGTCTCAAGGACAAGAGTAATGTCGAGTTATTTTCTCATGTTAGATAAGAGAAGAAAAAAAAAAGTTGAAAGAAAGAGGAGAATAATAAGACGAGTGAGTAGGGCAAAAAAAAATATATATTTTTTTTTCATAAAGGAAACACATAGAGACAAGAATAGAAAATAAAAGAATTTGCAATTACTACCTATTTTTTTTCCTTTTTTTCTTTTGATCCTTTTTTTCGACCCTAAAACCTTATGTTAGATGACAAAAAAAAATCATCTTCTTTTAAGACATGCTATTAATTTTAATTGACAAGACTAATCTATACAGATATTTAATTAGGTGACTTATGACTTACCACTAGTTTGTTGTAAGAAAATTATATGATTATGTAAATTATTATTGACAACATATGGATTTAGAAAAGCAATACAATGAAACATAATACTATTAAAAACTAAAAATGACTGTTATCTAGAATATATATAGAAAAGAAACAAAAATTTAAATGAATGTTTACTTAAAAACAGACATTAAATTAAACTTTTCTTTTATTCAAAAAAAATAAAATCAAGATAACAATATGCTGAAAATACGAGCAGTACCATCATTCGAACAACCGGCTAATTGATAAGATGTTGATGATGATGTTGATGGACGGAAACATAACTGATTTACAGTTAAATGAAAACCAAGTCTTAAATGAGAAAAAAAATAAGATTTTTTCTTCAAAACATGAATAATCATTCTAGTGGAGAAAATAAATGTTGTTTTCCTTCACACAAAAGGCTCAAAATTCCCAAGGGAACATCTCAATGTTAGAAAAATCATTGAATTAACAAGATATTTTACTTTATTCTCTTACAAATAAATCAGTTTAAATCCGGAAGGAATTTAAAAAATATCTTTATACTTTATATAATCTATTCTATCCTCTTCATTATTTTCTCGGATGTTGTTGTTGTTGTTTTATTTATTTCTAATATCTCAATATATAAATATAATCTAAAGAACATACGGATGTTTAGACATTTCTCTTCATAGGATGGAATATAAGATTATCGGAAGTACTCATATTAACAAGAAGAATATTACGTGACTAGAACTTTTTTTATTTCCGTTCGACATAACTTTATGAAAATATAATGACTACTAGTTGTTTTTACTGATTAATATATTCTCAATATAAAACGATGATTAATTAGAAGTAAAAGTAATTATTTTGTTGTTTCTTACGGATGTGTAATTGATGTTAAATGTTGCCAAGATACTTTTTCATTCCAAGTATACAGAAAAACAGAACCATTATCAAGTCCTGCTACGACGAAATACCTAAGAAACAATTTTTCAATAAATTTAGAAAAGAAAAACAATCGTTTACGAACTTGTCATTTTCAACGAATCGAGGAGCAAAAGTAACAGCTGTTACAGAATCATTCAATTTTAAATAATTTTTTTCACATGGTTGCTCATTATCATCATTACTCTTTTCATTCACACGCCATATATGTATCAATTGATCACGTGCACCGGTAGCAAAATATTTATCATCATGAGATATATGACATGTCCATATAATACGTTTATGATAGGGATTATTACTTGATATTCGTTTATATAATCGAGCTTGAAAATCTAATTAATAGAAAGAAATTTGAATTTTTGTTTTCTCTTAAATAAAAAATATATACTTGTTTCATCGATTTCAAATAATGACCAAGATCGATCACGTGAAACTGATAATAAATATCGACCATCATTTGAGAAAACCATTCGAACAACTGTTAATTGATGAACAGCAAGACGAACAATTATTTTCCAAGTATTTGTATTCCATAATATGATAGCTGCATCATTTTGATGACTTGCCTATAGATAAATCAAAATTTAATTTACAATTCTTAAATATTCAAAAATAGACATTTCATGTAAAACAATTTTTTAATTATATAAAAGCTATACGAGTTTTATCATTTTTGACAACTATCAGATACTATTAAAATTTCATATTCTAGCTATTATTAAGATTTGATTAGATTGACAAGAATTTGACAGGTTTTTTTGTCTATTATCTATTTGATAATAGTAAGACAATTACAAAGAGATTGGCTTCTATACTTATTCTCAAGTGTCAAAAAAAGTACTTCTTAGTTGTACTTAGAATATAAATAATAGTATGTACTCTATAGAACACAATATTTCCTATTCGATTAAAATGTAAAGAATAAGTTTTCTTGAATTAGTATCGTTATCCTTTACTCGCTCTATTAAAAAATCTTCGCGAAGAGATATTATTTGCTCGAGTAACTTACTTTACATGATGAAGCAATAATTGAACCGGATGGATTTGATGCGACAGCAATAATTTCATAACCATGACCGTAAAGTTTTTGTATTTCAGGCCAAAGTGTATTTTGTAAAAGATGTTCCTCAAAGGGTGGTTCTATATTAAAATAAAAATTAAAGACTAATTAAATGCTTTTTTTCATTTACCATTTAAAGTAATAGCTTTAAAAAATCCTTCTTTATATAAACCATCAACAGTCATTGGATTGTCTTCAATTGTTGATGTTGTAGTTGATTTTTCGTCATTATCGAATATTGCTTTATTTGATAAACCTAAAGCTGGAACATTTGCACCTTCAGGTAAAGCTTGAGCTTTCTGAAAACAAAAAATAAGAATATGATAGATATTTCAAATAGAAAAAAATCTTTTTTACTTGAATATCTTCATCAACATTAATTTTTGTTATTCGAGCAAAATTTTCCAAAAAATTTTTTGGTGCATCAAATATACGTAAAATTTTTTCATCGGCTCCCGATACAATACGTTGTTGATTAGATCCAATAAATGCTAAACATTTCATTTCATAACCATGAATTTGTGGTCGACCAATTTCATGCCATGAAATTATCTATAAAAATAAAAAGATAATTTTTCAAACAACTAAATCAATTATTTTACTTTATTTCGTTTCCATTCAGCATGTAAACGTGTTGTTTTATCTGTTGATACACTTAATAAATATCGACCACTATGTTTATCCCAACAACAATCTTCAACTGTATCAAAATGTCCACTATTAATGACTTGTGGAATTAAATTAATACGATCATCAACCTACAAACAATAAAAAATATATACGAAAATTATTTTTAGAAATTTACTTCTTCTATTTTCCATAAATGTAAAGCACCTTCATAACCATGACCAAGTATATATGAACCACATGAACTAAATGTACATCCATAAAAGCCAAGTGTATTACCACCAATTTCACCTACACGAGCCTATATCAAAAAATAATATACGAATTTTAATAGCAAAAAAAACAGAAATAATTCCTATTACTTTATCGATATACATTTTTTGATTGTCATCAAAAGTCCATAAAACCATTGATTTATCCATTGATGCTGATAATATAGTTGTTGCTGGTTTTTTTCGATCTTCAAGGTTAAATATAATTTCATTAGTTTATATTTATAAAAGAAAATAAAGTATTATTTACTTATATTTGGATACCAACAAAGACCATAAATAGCTTCTTCATGTCCTAATAAAATTGAATAAAGTTCAGCATCAATATTAATCAATAAGTCATCTAAATTCAAAAAATAAAAGACTTATTAATGCAATGAATTTCTTTTGTGTGTGTTTACTAGAAATATTTAATGTAAATGAACTTCGTTTTAATTTTAATATTGTCGAATCAATATTTGCATGATTATTATTTACATCAAATGATAACTGCCAAATACGAATATAATTATCTTGTGAACAAGTTGCAACAAACCATTGATACGGTGCTAGAATTTATTATTCGATAATGAAATTAAAAAATATTTTTTATTCTTACTTGTTTTTTGTATTGTTATTGTACGTATCCAATCTTCATGTCCACTTAATACAAAAACTAATTCAATCTGTAGAAATAAATAAAATAAAGTTAAAGAGTATTTTTTTCAAATATTTACTTCAACTCACTAACCACACTGTCTGATACTTGATAAATATGTACTTTATTTTTATCGGTAGCAACAAATAATAGAAACACTAAAATAAAACAATGAAATATTTATTTTTTGTTTATTAAAAGGAAAAAAAAGAATTATTTACTATCTTTATGACTGTCTAATGGAACTAATTCTAATGTAATAGCAAAACCATTCTTAAAATCAATTGTATGAAGACAAGTAGCTAGAAGAAAAATAATATTTTGAAAAATTTTAATTATTTATTGTTATATACCTGTCGTATTATTAATACGCCAAATTTTTACTGTTGAATCTGCAGCACCACTTGCTACATAGATATTATCATTTGAAGATTGTTGATAACCAGAAACAGTTGTTACACTATTCTGATGCCCATCGAGTGATAAATGTTTTGTATACTATTTTTAGAAGAATTTATTTGTTTTGAATAAATAAAATAAAAACTTTGACATACATTTTCATCTTTACCTTTCCATACACCAATTGTTTTATCAACGGAAGCACTGAGAAAATAATAATCACTGTTAGAATCTATAGGAATAAAAACGAATGAATTTATGAAAGATGTTTTTTTTAATAAAATAAACCTTGCTGTTCTTGACGGATCCATTTAACACAATTTAATCGTCCCTGATGACCAGAAAAAGTTTTACGTACAGAAAATGGAGCAACCTATAATTAAATACGAATATTTCTATTGAAAAATATTATAATTCGAGATTTCTTATCGTACATCAGAACAAAGAGCTACACTGTTTGTAACACCATAAATAAGTCGTGGTCCATTTTGCCAATCGAGAGTATGTGGACTACAATTACATCCGGCACTGATGTAATCAACACCGATTTTAATATCACTGGAAATGTTTGCCATAGAAATCTAAAATATAAGAATTTTTTTTATAAGATCGAAGTACTTAGTATCAATAATCCTATATGTCAAATAAAAATGTCAATATGAGGATGAACATCGAGCCGAACGAACGAAACCACTTGTACACAAGTTTTAATAAGCATCTTTTATTGGTCGTTACATTAACCAACAGAACTATTGTCGTAATAAACACACATCTCTATAGAGAACATTATAAAAAAATATGGCTGTCACAGCATTTATCGGCATCTCTAATAAAATCTATCATATTTTTTTGTACTAATAAATACATTTATAAATTTCAAAAAAATGATGCAATGATTAGAAAAATAGTTGCAATCAATATTTTATTACAATCAAGTCGATGAATTACATTTACATCGTTTAGGACAAGAGAACATTGATGAATTAGAATATTGCATCATCATTGGTTGATATGATTTTTCTTGTTGTTGAATATCTGACATTTTATTCGTTTCATTTATAAGGCGTGGATCAGAACGATGAGCTGATTTTGAAAGAATATCTCCTCGATCATGACTTGCATTATTACCAAAAATAACTTCTTGTGCTTTTCGTATAAAAGATGTTGCTGGTTTTGAAATGTAATCTGAGAATGGTTGAGATGGTATTTGTGTTGTAGGACAAGAATTTGATGAATAAATATATTGCTGAGGTATAGTTCGAACAATCATCTCAATTGGAATATTAAATTTGAAAACTGTTGGTTCTTCTAATGAATCAGTTGGTGAATTCGATTCAATTTGTTGATTGAATGGATTAAAATGATGATTAATGGAAGCTTGTGATGTGTCAATTAATAGTGGCCGTTGATGAGATGTATAGTTGTATGATGTTAATGGATTTTTAATATTTATTATTTGTGATGTTTCTTCATTTTTAAAATCATGATTATATTGTCCACACATTGATAGTCTTTTCAATGGAAAACAGTTTTGATTTTGATGATCACTTAATTTTTCATTCATTATATTTTAGAATTTATTCGAATAGAAAACAAATAAGAACAGACAATATCGCTTAGAAAAATTAAAACAATACAATAATCTGATACTTAGCAACTACAGAATGCTAGTTTTTTTTTTATTATTAATCACCGAATTGGCGGTATAAATCTATTCTTTCATTTATGCTTGTATATAGAATTTCGAGAATAGCAACTACTTGTCTTTGTTTATCACTTACTTGAAATAATCAATAAAAAATATTCATTATATGAGGATTAATAGGATACAAAAACTAATGCATATTTCTCTGTATCTTTTTAATTTATAATAGTAAAAGGATTTTTTAGCTTCTTAATAGATAAAAATAGATATAATATTTTCTTGTTTTTATAACAATCATTTTCACCAAATACTTTTTCATCCATCTTGTTTAAAAATGAATGAATTATGAAATAAGTGCAGGTATCTTAGCATATCTGACAAATATATACATCGCTAATAGTAAGTGACTGTGTCTTTACAGTAGAACTTAATCTCTAATATCACTCGTTTTACCTGTCTTTTTCTTATTTTTCAACACAATCCAATGAATTTCAAGATAAAGTTGCTCTTCTCTCGGTTATCATACGAAGACATACCTTTGCAGGTGACTGTAGATAAAAGATAAATAGTTTCACAAAAACAGTGAAGAGAAATAGAGCATTATAATGATGATATGCCTTCAAATTACAATTTCAGCTCTGTTACTATTTTCAGTCCAGTTAACAGAAGGTAAGCAAGAACATTATTGTCCTATAGTCACTTTGATGTAATGAATCTTTTTAGCAAATCCTTTTGTGCCAACATTAAACTGTAGCCAATACTCTGATGACAATCGTGTCTTGAATTCACTTCCATTTAATGTGACCATATTGGATAATTCTACCTCGTGTAACTTAACACCTGCCTGTGCTCGCATCAATACACTGAATCAAGTATACAGTTTAGAACTGAATAGAGTTCCGGTAGCATTACAAGTCTATTGTCTCACTCACTTACAATCACTGACTATTTCTGGTGATATTGGGGATGGTTCGTGGCCTATTCCTTATGAAATTGGAACACTTACTAAGTTGACGTCTCTATCATTATCGTATATCAAGGGCGATGTCATTCCAGAGACAATTGGTGAACTGAAACGATTACGTACTTTGTCTTTAGCGGGTCTCCATGTTGTCGAGTTGACAGGAGCTATAGCTGCTTTGAGTAGTGTATCAGACTTGAATATCGATCTACCTTTAGCTTCACTACCATCTTTTCTTAGTATTTTACCCTTGCGCTCTTTAGCTATTTCCTACGCTCCCACTTTTACTACAATACCACAATATTTTTTTAAAAATTTGAACCCAACTTTGTTGTCTCTATCAATGACTATTTCAAAGTTAGTGAACTTCGATCCGTTTGTAGACGCAACAAAACTAAAGAGTTTTACTATTACTGCTTATAATTTGTGCATTTTTCCTTGGCAATTCACCTATATGACAGGCCTAAGAGTTTTAACATTCCGAGGAGTAAATTGTATATCTGCTTTGCCACAAAATTTTACCAGAAATTTAACAAATCTATATCTTTACCAAAATTCTTTTACTGAAATTCCTGCACCTATCTTACTCGGGAAAACTTTGACTATTTTAGATATGTCGTTCAATCAAATTACAGATATAACGTCTTTTGCATTGTCTAGATCTCCCTTCAGTTCCGTATATCTCCCGTACAATCAAATTCAAAGTGTACCTCCTGAAATTATTAATCTTAGTGACTCTTTGCACTATCTTTCTTTATCCGTCAATAAGTTGACTACTCTACCAGCAGAACAAATAGTAAAAATGAAAAAGCTGACCGGTCTAAGTGTGAGTTATAATAATATAAACGCCACTGAGCAGTTGCGTTTAAAATCTATTTTTGCTGCAAATCCTAATCTTACCGTTTATTTTTGAGCGTGTCTTTTTATATCATAATCTTTTTTTTTGCTATTGATAAATTGGCTATTGAAAAAAATCAAGCATAAGAATTTAAATAAAACAAAAAGGAATAATAAAGTTTTTTTTCCTACTAAATAACCGCCTAATTTTATTTTAACATTAACTTCTTTAAGTGGATTTGGTTGCTAGAATGATGAAGTAAATGAAAAGAATAATGATGATAATATCCGTCTTTTTATTGAAGAAAGGCAACGAAATTAGTTCAATAATAAGAACTGAACGAAAAGAGAAAAAGCAACTCTGTATATATAAAACAAAAGAGGAAAGCAGGAGAGACAATCACAAAACAAGAAAGGAAACTACGGGATAGAAGGAGATCATCATGATCTCATGATGATCAACAGGATAATACATATTCGAAAGGAACGAAAGAATATGTATATATATGTAAAGAATAAAAAAAAATGTACAGAAAAGAAAAAGAAAAGACACATTAGCGTTATGAACATAACAACACGTGATGCTAACAATATGAAATAATGTCTATGTAATCGAGTTTGAATAAATGTCCAGCCAGAGAAAACAAAATATACTTAAATACATGATATTGGTTAATTAAGCTGTTAGCAAATATACTTCCCAGCGTGTTCTGTAGCTGATTTCAGTAAAGGTACCAGTGGTTCACTTAAATTGAATGGAAGTCGCTTTTCTTTTGCTAAAGTTTCGATTTCTTCGAAAATTTTCTTGTCCAATCGAAGATCAAAGCTGCTGTTGACATCATCAGGCAATGTGCATAACAGTTTTTGCCAGTCTTCAGCTGATATACCTTCACGCTCGACATATGCAGTGACTTCTTCAACCAATTCATCAACTAATTTTTTTCTCTGCTCAGTTGTATATGGACGGTCATAACTGTCGATAAATGCCATCACTTCATGCCAATAGTTGAGTTTGGTATTATTATCCACCTGTTCAATGTTGTTCAGTGTTTTTCGTATTGCAGGAATGATAACAAAATTACCATAGAAAGATAAACACACTGAAGTTTTTCTGACGACTTCATCTCTGATTATTCGATTAGAAGAAATATCTAACTGACTGCTCATAGTATTATTTGAAGTCAATTCGTTATGTGAACTTACGCCACTTAGATCATGTTGCAATGTGTTTGTTGTAATTTTACGAGCTTTTCTAACTGGAACAACAGTTGATTCTTTACTCGCACGTTTAAATGTTTGTATAGGCTTATAAGTGACAGGTGCTTCTATGTACGAGTGAGAGGTACTTGGACGTTGACGAACCTGTTCGCCGCAGTCGAGTGCTATATGTTTTCTTAATTTTGATTTGTACATTCTTATATCTAGAAAAAAAACACTAAAATGAGGACATGTCAAAGGTGTACACTCATATAATCAAACCAAAATTTAATATGGAATATTTAAAAACTAGTATTATAAATTTTACACATACAAACGACAATACAGATACTACATGACTGTCCAAGAGTTTAGGACACAGGAACCACGTCTTAGTTGTTACAGCATTTTACAACACTCTACACTACACAGTCGCTTTAAGCGTTACAAAACAACAGAATAAAAAAGATAAGAAAAACTCACGTTTATAAATATCAGTTACTGAACTGTTAGAGCTAAAAGCGAACTAAAGTTCAAAAAAAAGTACAAAATCTTTTGATATTGATAAAAACAAAAAACATGACTTACATTGAACTAAATATTCCAGAAATGAAAAACCTTAAGAAAAGTAAATTAAACTATAGCTGACAATGCATGGATTCAAGGACAGAATATGATGGTCAGTACTATCGACCTCTTCTACTTGTTCGAAGTGCATTAAGTACCAAGTTATATAAATACTCTACACTCTCTCTTTCATCTCTATCATTCGAGTTATCAGCATAGTCTTTCATACTCTCTGCATCTGCAACATTTGCTGGTACATGACAAACACTGTTTCTATTCTGGTAGAGTCGTATAAGAGTCTTCCAGCATCGAGAAGGTATACCCTTTTCTTCGGCAATAACACGTATCTGGTTATAAACTTGTTGCTTTTGTTTCCAATAAGGTGCATCACATATATTATGACCACGGATATAGTACGTAACGTCGTGCCATTTTATGAACTGTTGTACACGATAATTTGGTTCATTCACTTCAGTTTCACAATAGTTGTTTAAGTCTTTTATTATATATTGTTCGCCAAAGTACGCTACAGCATTTGCCACTTTCACAAGATAGTCATTCTGTTGCAGCGTTTCACATTCTTTACTGGCATCGGTAAACGAATACAGTGTTTCTTGTGTATGAAATGTTGTTGGATTATCGACTAACGAGTAAAAAGTGTATTTTTGCCAGATGTCTGACGAAGCAGATTTGCTAAAGAATTCAGTTGTTTTTTGCTTGTGACAGTATTTATATTCCCAAATTGTTTTCATTCTTGTGGTGGTCATGAACGTAATCTAAAAAAAAGACAATCGTTTCAAGTACTTATAGTCACATTCATTATCGATAATAGAAACTGCTTACATTTACGTAGTCAGAAATATCGACCAGTACCTTGTGGACGTCGATGTGCGGCGTGGATGTGAGTGAAGAGAATAATGACACTCACACTTAAGAATAGTAGTTGTGGAGATTTAGTTGTGTTTTCTAATATTATTTAGAAGAAACAACGCAAAGAGTAATATTAGAAGTTATTTGTGTTTTATCTGGAACTATATTTGACTTGGATTATTTTTTATTTAAAAGAGAGTAGTTTTTTTGTAAATTTTAAAACGTGAGAAGAAAAGGAGTATATGATCAATGTTGTAAGATGGTTGTGGTTATTTCATGTTATGTGTTGTAGTATTTATGTTGTGAGAACTGATTTTGTTTCATCCGTTTACAGCTTGAATCTGATAGTACCGTAGTAGTCAAACTTACTAATAACAGCAAAAAAACGAAAGAGATATGACTGTGGGAGGAAAAAATACGATGTCATTAGAAAATTGAAAAAAGTATAATCGATAGAATAATAGTTGACGACAATCAACAGACAAAAAAAAAGAAGAAGAGAAAGAAAAACTAATGTACACATACACAGCTGATACAATGAAAAAAAATAAAATAAAACATCATAATTTCTTTTCTCTTGATTTGTCATATGTTACATTCATGTCCTAAATCAATCATTGAATAAATAAAAATAACTTTTTAACCTTTTTTCTCATGAAAACGAATGTCTTCAGCTGTTACCATCTTAAATTATTATTGATGTTCAACTATTTTTTTTTCATTTTAACGTCGTCATTTTAAACTTCATTTCATATTGTTTTCTTCGTATCTTTTTTATATTCTATTCTATGGCACGATGTGCGTCTTTGTTCAGAGTGGTTGTAACCAGCAGTTGGTGCTTGTATGAATCTGTTCACATTAGAAATAAACGAATATCTATATACATTCTTCTGTTGTGTACTATTGAAAGAAAAAGAGATTAGTACAAAGACAAATGTGTGTTTCATTAGTTTTAAATAATTTCTTTGGTTTTATTGTATGATAATAATGTGTTATATGATGCAAAAGAATATTTATTTATAATGATATGTATATATAAATGTATATACTTCTTTTACATAAAGATGTTGTAATGATTTAGTCAACGTTTTGTCAAGAATGACTTGCTCAAAAGATTGAAGTTTTCTCAACATTTTATTCATTCATCAATAACATTAATATGAATAAAATAGTAGCTGCACTCACATTCTCATGAAAAAAGATAAATGAAATAATATTATTGGATTTCAGTTTTTTTCCTTCAAATAACATCTGACAAATATGTTGCTGTTTCAATTCAATTTTTTCGTATAGAATTAAGGTTTTAAAATGTCATAAGTATAGTTGGTATAATAAGAGATCTAAACACATATATTTTAATCATGAACATTCATAATTAAAATTTTTATCTTTGGAAAACACTAACAATGTGTTCAATCAATAATAACTTGTCTTTAAAATCATGTTTTATTGCATCAAATAATCAAGTTCATATAAAGCACGAAGAATAAGCCACAAATGAATTTCTAAAGTTATTGAGTGATAAAACTACTTTATAGAAATAAGTTAATAAAAAATTTTGTTCTGATGTATTTTCTTTATTCAATAGAAGTCATATTTTGAAATATAAAACTCTTGAAATAGAATTGCTTCTTTGTGTATATATATAAACATTCAAAAAATCAATGGAAATATTTTTCTACGCTCGTCATCTATCTTTCGAGATACATTGAAAATAACATTTTATCTTCTCAATTTTCTAATATACATATATATCAATTAGTAAAAGAACTACCTTTATTGTTCTTTTTTTCGTCGTAAGAAATCAGAATAAAATAACAAACCTAAAGAATATGCCGTCATTTTTTAAAAATAAGCTGAAATACCATAAGTGTTATATGTTCACGGTCCCTATTTTTGTTTTGATATGTATACTTCAAACATATTCAAAACTGAAGGATTCTATATAATGCAAAACTTGATTTTTGTTATATATTTTCTATAGAAATAATTATATTAATTTCAGTTTATATTTATATTTTAAATAAAAAAATAATATTGTTATTTGACTGCATTATTTTACAATTATTCAATGCATAACTAAAATTCTTTTTTTATCATCTTTATTGGTTTCTTCTAATTAATCAGATTTTGAGAAAAACGATCTTATAGAATAAAAAGTAAAAAAGCGATGAAGACAAAGTTTTTTGTATGAAAGAAAAGAAAGAAAGAAAAACTACAGCTATGTAAAATCATATCAATGACAGATGGTTTGTGTATTTTTCAGAAAAATTATATTTATTTCAACACATATTGAGACCTTAAAAGTACTAATATAGATGAAGTATTTTTGAGTGCGGAGAGAAAGTGCAACTTTAGAAGAAGAACGTACACAATTATTTTAATCATTTCAATTGATGAATAAGTTTCAAGGTGATACCATCGAATTGAATTATATATGAAGCAAACAGTGTGCGTTTTAGATATTTACTTTGAATATAGACTATTTAGAATCAGTTATATCGCTGTTGATCGTGAATTATTTCGTATAGTTGTATTTAGATTACAGTTACGATTGAAAAAATAGATATGTACCTAGAGAAAAGTTTAAACAATGTATACAACAAGGTGATTGTATATCCACAAGATTATTCGCATTTTACTATAGATCAATATTTTATTCATAAACTTCTTTGCATCTTTTTGTATTACTAAATATTCTTTTTTATGTTTTTAGAATAGTCCTTTACCGACCTGTTTTAATCATAATATTTAGTTTTAGAGTGGTATGCGTGTAGATGAATGAAGATGAGACCAGTACCCTCGCCCTAACGTCATTACATTTGGATATATTTAAGTATTTGTTAGTTCTCCTAATTATCATTCCAATAACTTCTTATATACTTTTATTATTTTGTAAAACACGATCTAAAACAAGTGTTGCAATATTTAAAGGTAATAATTTGTACACCCACAGATTGTAACCGACAGGACTTCAAAGATTATCATAGAATGTGACAAATATACTTTAAAATCATATTTACAACGTATCTATATTCTATGAACAACTCTAGATAGCTCATGTTTTACATTTTTAATCTCGAATGAATAACACTGAAAGCTTTTCGATATATATATTGATGCAAAAATTTATCTCTTTTACAAAGATATAAAATTAAACTATTTATTACTTAATATTAAACAAAATCAAAAATACAATTTTGTATTTGAAAAATTACTTATTGCTAATGTAGGTACCGACATTGACTTGCTTAATTGATATTTGTTGTTGGTGAATGGCTCGAATTTCATCTAATGTTAAACACCGTTTGAAAGCATTAAAATCAGCTATACGAACATGTTTAGATGTTGATGATAAATTACTGGCAAATTTTGGAAATAACATCATTTTAATCAATGAAAATTGTTCTTCTGCTTTGTTGGAAAATGTATGAGATTTAAAAACATTTCGTCCATCAATCCATAATGTACAATTCGATTGTGAATGTGCTTTTGTTAAAACAATATGAGTCCATTGATCAGCATGTAACATTGATTTTCTTTTACTGAAATAATATTTCTTTCCACGAGATAATAAGATGGTTAGATTGGAACTATAAGATTTTCCAATTTCTATATGTAATTCACATTGATGTGTTAAAAGAATCCAAAACGAAAATGAATAAGATGAAAAAATAAATGATGAATGATAATTATGCTCAAGAAAACATTTATAATGTGATGAATGTTTTGGAACAGTCCAAGGAAGAAGATAACATTTAGTTGAACGAAGATTAATTGGAAATAATGATCGATCAACATCGAATACTAATTTTGATTTAATATCTTTAGTAACATTAATGAAACCATTACGAAACGTTTGTCGTGAATATTTTAAAGATCGAGAAAACCATTGATTAAGAAAATGTTCATCATTCGTAATAAAAGACCGCCAACATTTACAAACATAGGTCATTCGAAGTAAATCTAATGGTTCATGAATATATTGAATAATATGATGTAATAATTCACAAGGTAATCGATTCATTTCGTTTATTTGTTTATTATGATTGAATTTGAAATGTGAAACTTCATTTTATATAGATTATGTTTGATTAATTATCAAAGAATATGAAATACGTCGATATGAACAATTCTACTGATAATATGTTGATATGATAATAGTTGTTACGATATAATTAATTTTTTATTTGATATTTTTTATAACAATTATCATAGTAATATCAATACAGAGTATGGGTGAAAAACAAAAACTATGAATACTTATCACACTCAGATTCAGAGTCGCATTATTTGAATATTGAATAACATAATATACTAGTCGAAATATAGTCAGAAATGTCTTCTCGAAAATGTCCGCGGACGTAATGTCCTTTGTTTTTTCGTCCTTATATATATACATACGTGTGAGGTCGAAAAAACACAGGACATTTTCGAAAGTTAAGTTTCAATAAAAACAGTTCTTATCAAGATTTGAACAGTAATCAAATAGCATACAAAAATAGAGTTTGATTTTCTAGTTTTCATAAGAACCATATTGATATTAAAAAGAGATTAGAATTTTGGCTATGCCCCTTTCATTTATCTTGTTTAAAAAAGAATCAATCATGAAATAAAAAATAAATGATATCACGAAGAAAAAAATTTTAAACAATACAATAATCACTAAAAATCAGTTTGATATCTAGTAATCAATGTATTTCAATATCAATTAATAAATGGGTGGTACAGTTTGTGTTTCTATCCAAGCTCGTTGCGATGCAGGCATTTGCCATTGTTGAACCTTTATAATATACATAAAAATAATATTAGCTAAACTAATCTTAATCATAATTACTTGACATATTTTTTTCCATTGATTTAATCGCGTTAATAATTCATTAGCATGTTGTACTTCTTGTCCAACATCGGTAAACATCAATAAAACAGTAATCGGTATTTGCTTCTGTTGTCTACATATACAATAAAAAAATAAATAAACAGATAAATATAATCAATTAAATTTATTTTACGCTGTATAAAATAATCGATTAGCAATTCCACCACCAGCAATATAATAACGATCACGATCTCGTACAATTTTATGATGATGCTTATCTTGTCGTTCTTCTAATGCAATCCATCCAAGATTATTAGAATTATTTATTGTTGATAAATATCGAAATTGATCACTAAGATAAATTATTTAAATAAAACGGGTTAATAATTTTTTATCTTACCCAGTTAATTGAGAATCATTACGTTCAACAGCATTAAATGCAGTTAAAATAATAATTTCTTTTAATTGTTCATTTTTAAAAAATGTTAAAAGTTCATCGACAAATTCTTGTCGTTTGCCTGATACAATACTACCACGTTGTTGAATAACAAGTAATTTTAAATTTGTTTCTTCATAAACTATAATTAAATAAATTCCTATTATTTTTATTCTTATCTATTATCTATTATTTTACCTTCAATACCAAATGCAAAATTTTCTTTATTTGTATTTTCATATGGATCATATGCAATTACCGGTTCTACACATGTCCAGTTAAGTACACGAGCACTTTTCATATGTAACGTATTAATTAAAGTATCTATTGCTAATTGTCCAACATAACAATGACATATAGATGGCTATGAAAATGACAATTAGAATAAAAATGAAAAGATTTTTAATTCTTACTAAGATTAATGTATAATCTTTCCAGTTTCGTTTCTCTGTTCCCGTCATTATAGATAAATCTGAAAAAAGAAACTTGATTAGACAATTTCGAAATAAAAAATTTCTATTGCATTCAACGTGTTTTTTTTAAGACACAAAAAATAAACAAAATAACGTCATGATTCAACACACATAGATGTATATATATATATAAAGAAGAAGAAGAAGAAAAAAGAAATGAAACGTCGTCTTTAATATTGAGCAATAAACACAAAAAAAATATTAAGCATTAAAGAAAAAGAATTTATTTTATTCAACTTTTGGTTTTGTAAAACGTATGAGTGTTTCTGGTGAACGATATAAGAAAATAAGTTTAGCAAAAACTTGTTCTTCAATATTTAATATATTATGTTCTCGAACCAAATAAATATCTCGTAAGAGATGCCATAATCGATCAACTTGAGGTAATTCATTAAACATTATTGTTTGACTTGTTTGTAAGACTGTACGTAACAATCGTGCAACAACAATTACAAATGTTGTATATAAACCAATAATCCTATTGAAAAATAAAAATAGAAATTAATTTTTTAGCACAGTTTGTTTATTATTCACTCTCTATCTTAACAATATTTTTATGAACATAAAAAACAAACAAAAAAGGAAGAACAACAAGATTATTGAATATCTGAACAAAAAAAAAGACATAAGAGATTTGATTGTTAGTTATCTGGTTTCTCTCTAGTCCAATAGAGTAACACTTGTGGATTACGATAAATATAAACTAAACGATCAAAAAATTCATTTTCAGTTTCAAATTCATGAACAGTTCGTAAAAGATTTATATCATTTAAAAAATGCCATAATGTATCAACTTGTGGTAATTCATCAAACATAATTGTATTCGTTTTACCAAATAATTCACCACGTATAAATGTTGCAGCCACAGATACAATTGATATGTAGATACCGATAATACTATAGAGGATTTACATGAGAGAAAAGATTTAAAATATTTTTTTCAAAACAAAAGAAATTAACAATAAAGAACAAATATGTCAAGATAATAGAAAGAAGAAGAACAAGCTATTGTTGCTAATTATATTAAAAAGAAAAAGAGGTAAGATGTCATGATATATCAAGAATAGAACCAAAACATTCAAAATAAACAATGCATGCGGTGAACAATAGTTTGTTAGTTATTAATCGAGCAAAGCTAAATAATTAAATTCTATGAATACACTTACCCATAACGAGTAAGAAATGAAATATTTGCTGGTGAAATTTTATCATTGAAAAAAATCATACTCAAAAAGTTATCATTGGGAAATAAACCTTTGAAGAAAAAAAATAATATGATCAAATAAATGAAAGAGCTCTTCCACACTTATAATAACTTACATGATGGAGAAACTTTATATCTTGTTCGATTTTCTGACATTTCCCACCAAACTTCAGTACTATTTGGTATTGATTTTGTACGATTAAGACCCATGGTTACATCAGCATAATATTCCGATGAAAAAACTAAATTATAATTAAATATAATATTATAAAATAATGAAATTAGATGATTAAGAACCAGTTTTAAATGCTGGAATTTCTTCTGGTTTTGCTTTCGGTTTTACATGTAAAAATCTTGGTATTAAATTTGGAATTGTAAATTTTCTAAAAAAAATCATCAATAGAAAATTTCTAAATTATAATAAGTAAAAATTCTTACGTCTCTATTTGTGAATCAACAGTTCCATTAATTATTTCAATAAGTTCCTTTCGAATTTGTTGATCTGCTGATGTTATCTGTACTGTATGTTCACCTGCTACAACTGCTGCAATATCTTCTGAATCATCTTCGCCTGGCGGATTACGTGTTATTGTATATGAAAATCGTACTGGTACAGTAACATTGGTTCGTAAATTATTTATAACAATATCACGTATAGGTTGACTTATTTCCCACATATTAACACTTGTTGCAAATAAATTTACACAATATATATCATCTGGCTTATAATCACGTAAAAATGCATAGGCAGTATCCTATTAAAATTAATTATATGTAGAAAAATAAATAAATAAATAAAATGATTTACTTCAATAGTTGCGTCGATATTTGGTGAATAGATTGATGTCCGTAGACTATTATAATCAGTTTCAGTAAATGCACTTAAATCAATATCTTGTGCAGTCATTTGATAAATTGGCTATTAAAAAAATCAAGCATAAGAATTTAAATAAAACAAAAAGGAATAATAAAGTTTTTTTTCCTTACTAAATAACCACCTAATTTTATTTCAACATTAACTTCTTTAGGTGGATTTGATTGATAGAATGATGAAGTAAATGAAAAGAATAATAATGGAAACCATATTAATAGAATTAATAAAGCTAATAATGAACCACCAACACCATATTTTGATGTTTTTGGTCGAGTTACACCACGTTGTGTTGGATATTTCTACAATAAAAATTTTCATTTATAAATAATCCAAAAACAAATTTTATTAAATAGATTTAAACGAATCATAGAGAAATCGTTGCTAATATTACATGCAGTCATATATAGTCTTTAGGTTCTTTAAAATAGTACTTATATCTTACTTTCTCAGCCCATCTTGAACATTTTAGAAGATAAACATTTGAATAAATATCTTCTAATTGTAGCCAACTTGTTAAACCCAGTGCTGTATCTGTAAACATCCAATCCATAATTGTTCGTAATTCAAGTAAAAATGGAATTAACAAATAACTAAAAATACAAATTCATATATAAAAGAAAAACTAAGAAATTCTTACACTCGATATAAAATTTGATTCACATAATTAAAACGTTTCATAAGAAAATTGCCTGCAATACGTTTTGGATAACCTAATCGTACTTGTATTGATGAATAACCAAAATAGATACATTTGAATATATACCAAAATTGAGCCGCAACATTATCACGAAATTTCCTTGAAAAAAAAATGTTTTTAAGAAAATTTTTCTATTGATTCATAACATACGTTCGAGTTATTCCGGGTAAAACAAAAAATAACCATATATGTACAACTATAACTTGGAATAATTGAAAAAATAGTTTACCACGAACATTTCGACGTAGATAAAGTGCACGATCAATTATAATTAATATAAATTGAACTAATAATATAACAAGAAAAGCGACTGGAACCTGAAAAGAAAATTTTGTATTTCAAAACAAAAAATTTTAAAATATAAATTCTTTTACTTTATTCTCTTTTATTGTTTGTACAACATTTCCACCAGCTCGTTCCTAGAATAAAATTTCAATTTTTAGTTATAGAAACAAAAAATAAGAACAAAATAAAAATAAGGTGAAACGTAAATAATAGAAAAATCTATATTGTGGGAAAATCTTTTGATAATCTTAAATTTCATTCATTACCCTAAAAATTTTAGTTAACTGTAAAAAAACAAGAAAAGTTTTACAAAACAACAATTAAAGAAATTATTTTTCAGATACATACACCAAATTGACTATAAAAACCAATAACAATAACCATATTAATAAAATCACAAAAAAACATTGGTGCATAAACATCACGAACAAATAATGCTTGTTTAAGTTGACGATAGAATCTTATCAATGGTTTCATAAAATAAGAATTACTAAAAGAGAAAAAAAATCAAATTTTTTATAATTAAATAAATGATATTTTTGCTAAATAAGAAAAGAGGCTAGCAACATGCATGTCTAAAGTCTATAGTTTGAAAATCATACCGAATATTGAATAGGAATCTGTTTGTATTATATTTGTTTTTTTATAGAATTACATTTTTAAATAAAATGAAAATTACTTACCTAACGATTCGTGTTGTTTCTGATGGATATACTTCATCTGGTTGTTGATCATTCGTTTCAACATCTGGAGTTGCTGGTTCTAAATAATAAAATATATTCGTGATTTATAAAATAAATCTTCTTTATTTATACGCACCATGCGGTGTGGATGTTTCAGCTTTCCAAAGTCCAAGTTGCTAAAATAATAAAAAAAACAAGTTTGTTAATTTTTTAATCTATAAATTTAGTACTTTTAAAATTGAACGATGAAGAAATAAAGATAATAATAAAAATAAATCTGCTACTGAAGCTGCATTCTCTTTTCGATTAATTCCAATAATATTTATTGCTGCTAATGGACGAGCATCTATTGTATCTGCATTCCATGGATAAAATCGAAATTGAAATATATATTTAACAACAATCATTGCTTCTGTATAAGTTAATACAGTAATCCAATAATTTCGTGATGGTCGAGATGATAACATAGCCCAAAGAAATATTGATAATGGAAGTGGTAATGATAATAATGCACCTGATGTTAAATGATTTATAATCATAGCTGAATAACATAAAAGTTCTGATCGAGACATAACAAAATAAAATAATGAATCAAATAAACGATAAAGACGTGAACGTTGACTTAAATCAAATGATTGTGATACTCTTCGAAGAGCTTGATGTCTACAAAACAAGATTAATCCTTATCATTACTATTATATAAAGAAAAAATTTACCCATTTGAATAATCACCACTAGCGAATTCATCAATATCGATAACGGAAGACTACATAATAAAAATGATTTCAAGACAAACAAAAAAAAAACTAAAAATAAATTTTACTGCTCCAACACTTGTTTCAGCTCGAATACGTTCTTGTTGAATAATTTTATCGTCTGATTTCATTTGAGCTAATTTTTTTGAAACTTCTCGATAATCATGAGAATTTCGATTAAATAAATCAATTAAATAATCAATTATAATCCAACCAATTAAACGTATTTTAATTAAAATTGATTTTCGTTTCTTTTTTGTTTTATCTTTTGTAATAAAAATAAAAATTTATTAAATATTATTCAAATCTATTCAATCTACCTTTTGGTTCCACAGATGCTACGTGCTCTGGATCTGATAAAATTGGTATTCCTGCAGTTGTTGTTAGTGTTGCTAGTGCAGAAGGAGTAGGTGGCACTGAAGTAAATTCATGACCATTTGATTCAATTAACGATGATGATAAAGGTTCTAAAAGAAAATATCAGATTGAGTGAGTTTAATATTAATAATAAGAACAACTTACTTTGAGTAGCGACAGCTTCTTTTGCTTCTTTATCACTTGCTGATAAAACTTGAAGAATCTAAAAAGAAAAGATTTATTATATTTTATGAATTTTTAATTAATAAACCTGTTCTTGAGCAGCTGTTGCTTCATCTTGTTTTCCTTCATCTTCTTCTTCATCAGATTCATAATCAAACATATAATAATCACCCGAACGAATTGCTAAAAAACGAATAGAAAATAAAATCTTTCATTGATTTTGATTTTTTTTCTTTTCAACAAACCTTCAAAATGTTCAGCTGATTCTGAAAGTATTGATGTAGTTTTTTCTTCTGTTTGATTTAATTTTGATTGTTGTTCTTTAATACGTTTTAAACTTTGAGTTATTTTTGATACAGTTTCTTCTTCACGTGCACGATCTTCTTCTATTCGTTTATGTGACATTTCATTAAATAGAACAGCACCTTGACTAGCTAATTTAGCTTGAGAACGAAGTTCAGTTACAATATGTTCCCAATAATAACTAGCAAATATTCGTTTTTGTAATAATAAAAATATCATACAAAAACCATCCCTAGAAATTATATTAAAATTATAAAGACAAAATGAAGAAAATAATTTTGATTTACATGAAAAGACTAGCATCAGCAGCATTTCGATCACATTGTTCAGTGGTACCTAAAATTCAAATAGTTTAAATACGAGAAAAATCTAATTATATATACCCGTAGGAGATGAAGGACAATTATTCAAAGGTTTAAAATTTGATTTTAAACATGGTACAAATAAATCGACAAACGTGCAAAATGTTGACATGCGTGATGCGATTGTACAAGATGTCGATGGATAAAGAAATATACAAACGACCACCTAGAGAAATATCGAAACAAAACAAAATAACTAATCAAATATTCTAATAAATGATTTTTTTCTAAGATAAAGAAGAAGCATGCTTTATAAAATAAAAATCTTTGCCCCCTCCCACCAACAAAAAGGAAAGAATAACCTATAAACCAAACAGAAAAAAAAGAACCTGTAGAGGAAATACTGTCATCATCATCATCATTGAATCTTTGAATATCTGGTCTTAAACAAGCTATTGCAAAGATTTGTTGAATTGAACAATTAATTGATAAAATACCAACACAAGCGACTACCTGAAAGTGTTTATTTCTCATTTTTCTATTATTATTATTATTTCATCGAAAATAGAATTCATTCTAACATATTTCTCTTTACACATACCTGTAAACATGCTTTAACAAATACGACTGCAAAACAATAATAAATCATATAATTCCACCTAGGAAAAAGAAATTTTATATTTAAAACAAAAACCAAAAGTTCAACTAAATTTTAACATACAATCGAAGCATAACTGGAAGTCGTTTTGTTAAAAAATCTTGACCATACCAAAGATAATAAAAACATGCAATAAGATAACCAAGACCAAGTAAACTAATTCGTGTTGTACCAGCAAGATAAACAATTGATAAAACACTCCATGCACCATACATAAATATTGAATATTTTATATGATCAAGCCAATGACGTTTATTTGTAACAAAATCCCATGTTGGATTATTTTTATAAACATCATCATCATGAATTATTTCACGATTTGATCCACCAGCTTCGGCATATTCATGATTTTTTTCATTTGTTTCATAACCAAATACACGCCATTGTTGACAAACAAATAAAAATTGAAAAAAATCAGCTAGAAAATAAAATTCTATATTTTTATAGTATAATTAATTAAATATTTACCAATTAACTGTGTTGCTATGGGTGGATGTGCATAATCTGCTAAATAAAGCCAACGTTTTAATTGAGACCAACCTTTTACGTTAACATCTGTCCATGGATATTCTACAATAAAATAATCATTTTATTAAACTATTGTTTCTTTCATTCAAAGTATCTAATGACTTACCAAAGCAAAGCATTGGTGGTGCGCCAACAACACTCATATATTGTGCTGGAAATGCAATGATAAGAAATAACATATAGATAGGCCATATTCGTTGAATAGTTCGTCGACTTGATATTAAAAATATACCAAGCCATATTGAATAAAGAACAGCCATAACATCAAGACGAACACCAATAACTATAACTGTTGTTATGAAGCATATCTACGAAAGTAAAGTATTCTTTAGTAAAACGAAAAATTTAAATCATTTTTCTTTTTTTATACCTCCAAACCAAATCGATAGAAAATAAAATTCGTTAAATATTTTAAAAAGTTAATCATTCCTTGATCAGCTTGTCTATAACTAATTATATCATATTCAGGTTCACGAGTTTCATCAAAAAGATCTTTTAATGCAAATGGTTCAAATAGAATAGGAAAACGATTTTCAACAAGAGGAGCATTAAAATGTACTGATAATGTTAAACGACGATGTCTTTGTCTATATCGTACAGTTGCATCTAATGTTAAAATAATTGTTAATAAAATATAAAGCTACAAAATAAACAATTAAAAGTTTTTGTTATATAAAGAATAAATATTTACTCCAATAAATTGATTAATATTTGGTGTTAATTCAAGACCAAACCATTTTGCTGTATCATTTGGAATTGCATTTAGACTTTCATCTAATGTTACATTTGGATAAATCTAAAGAAGTTTAATTTTATATAAAACAATTTGTTCATTTTTATTAATTTACTTGTGAACAATTTCGAACAAAAATATTTTTTTCTATTATTTGTTGTTTTGCTATTTCTAATTGATAACACATTGATGCAAGAATATATATACCTGTACTAATTAATGTTAATAAATTGATTAATGATCGAAGACTTGATAATGTTAAACCAATAGTTACAAAAATAATTAATAGAACATTAAATGCCGATACCTTGATAATAGAAATAAAAATTTTCATTTTAAATTTAAATCAAAACAAAATAAATTTATTTTACTCGAAGTACAGAAACAAGAACCATGATAAATAGAACAAGTTTATAGGAATGAATTTCAGCAAAACGCCATGTGTAATAAATTATTTTTTTATAGATACGGTTTGCTCGAAAATAAAATTTATATAAAGATTCTTGCCAAATTTCTGGAGTACTTTCTAAGATTTGTTGTGTATAAACACTATTTGAATTATCTGTATTTTCTACATAAAAATTATATATATATAAATAATTATAATACAACAAAAAAAAATTTTTCTACCTTTAGCGTACGTATGAATTTCTTTTAATGTACCAGTTGGTAAGCCTTCAATATTTTTGGCACTGAAGATTAAATAAAATATAAATTCATTAACTTTCTACTATTTAAAAAGAACTGATTGAATGTCATCAAATAAATCTTACGAAGAGTATATAAAACTTAGTCTTTTTGTTATTTTTAAGATTACCTTGGCATTGTAATTAAGTCCATCCAACCCGAATGAAAATAATACAATTGCATTATATTAACAACAAGAAATATACTTGGTGTTAGTAATTTCACAGCCAACACATCGGATCGAACGAAATCAAGACCAATTGATGCAAGTCTACAAAATAAAACAATATTAAAATAAATTTCTTCTTTTTATTTATTTATTGGTATTTACAATTCTTTACTGAGTCTTGCAGTTAAAAAATTGTGGACTATTTCAAACTAAGATATAGAACAAGATATTTATTTTATCAAAAATATTTCAAAAAAAAGGTATTACTTGATATACATATAATCCAATTAAAATCATCATGGAATAGATAATAATAGTTAAATGGAATGTTGATGCTGTTCTTCTCCAAAATCCAAATGAAATCTTTAAAAATAGATTTATTTATTTTTTTTACTGTAAATTGTATTTATCTTACTTGGTATGAAAGAATAAAGAATAGATAAAAAGCCATGTAGATTATACGATAAATTACTACAGTATTTTGAATACTAACAAGTAATAGCATTCCACATGAAACAAATATCCAATATTTAGTTAAGAAATTAATCAACCATTGTCCTAAACAATATATTATATTCTTTAATTCCAAAGAAAAATATAGAAATAAACGTTACCTAATCGTTTTGGATATGACACTGGTGATGTAGTGAGTGGTACTGCTATAAATAACAAAGAAAGAAACATAAAATTATCAATATTCATATATATAAATTAAGCAAATCATTAGAAAAGTCGATTTATAAAGCTCTAAGTTTAGTCTTATTTTATATTTTACCAGCAACTGATAATTCTATATCTGTAAAAAAGTCGAATTTCATTTTTCTCAGTTTTTTTTTATTGTATTTTAATGCATAACTAACCTTCATTTGGTTGAATATTGGCATTTTGACGTTCACTAATATATTGCCGAAATGTTAACCAAAAGAACATCATATAGAATGACTAGAAATAAATGAAAAAATATAATTATGATTTTATTCTTTAACCGGTGGGCTACGTGATTATGTTGGTGATATTTTCACAAGACACAAACAAATCTAACGCATCTCAGATTTTCCCTGTTGTTGTTGTTGCGATACTCTACGTGCTGAGTTAAGTATAGCGTGGCAACACTGACAGAGAAAATGTGGGATACGTTAGATTTGTTTGTTTCTTATAAAATATCACGAATATAATTAATTAACATACTTTGGCAACTAAGTAAATGAATGCTGGACGATAATCAATTATTTGAATACCAATTTGTGCCATTGTACGACGATCATACATAAAATTTAATTGATCAAAACTTACTTTAAAACCACTTAGATATTGTAATATTAATAATATTACTCCATAAATTGTAAAAAATGGACTCATTCTCAAACACCATTTTCTTGAATTAGGTAATACCCAAAGAAGACATGCCCAAAGTAAATAGACTAATGTTAATAAACTATGAAATGTTATACTCCATGCCTGAATAAATTTTCATTGTAGATAAAATCTTAATTAGAGTAATAAAAACTTTCGCTTTCTTACCAACATAGCAATTATAGATAATAAATAACTTTGTCGTTCTAACACACGAAGTATTAATAGTACAATAAAAATTATTCGTCCTTGCCATGTTTGATCTTCTGCTGATTCTAAATTTGATAGACGTTGTGAACTTGGAGAATTTCGTTCTATTGTACTTCGTCGTTCGACATTATTAACCAAACTCTATGATATACATATATATATTTATATAATAAATGTTAAACATTAGCAAAATAGAATAATTCATAAAAGCAAATATTTTTATATGTATTCTTTTTTGTCCCAGTATATAAAAGCAAACTTAAAATCCATGTTAGTAAATTAGATACAGGAATTAGAAATTCGTATCGGTATTGATAATATCTCTGAGTGATGTTTTTTGATATGGCAATTTTTCAACAAAATTTCATCAAATAATTTCTCGGTGATACCCTTAAAATTAGTAGAAGTTTTGATATTAAAAGCAGAAAAGTGCATAAAATAGATCTATTGATAATTGTTATCGATTCTAATTGTGTATAAAAGTCTATTTATTTGAACATAGTGAAAAAAGCAGGCATGTAATTGCTACAAATATATGGGCAAACCTGTATGTCAATAGGACGATGAGGATTCATCTGATAAAGTTATACACACAGACAATATGAATTCGATTAATCATTTATGATCCTATTTGAATCATCAATTATTTTCTTACCTCTTGTTCAACAGATTGCATTGTTGTTGTAGTTGATTGTACTTTCTAAAGAATCAAAAGTATTTTATAAAACAAACATGTATATGTGGTTAAATTTACTTGTTGAAAAAAGGTTCGATTTGTTTCAAAAGCAAAATAAAAATATAGAAGCAAAAGTGCACATGGATTGATATAATCACTCCATGCAAGATTAGTTACAACACGTGGTTCATTCTCCGTGCAATTATTTATTACAATTGCTGTTAAACCTGTAATACTGTTAAGAAAAAAAAGAAAAGAAAACACATGCACAGATGTATTAGTACAATCACACTTAATATCTTACTTGCTCCATAATGATAATGGTGGTAAAACTTCTTGAAAAAATGTAAATTGATATAAATAAAATAGAATGATATGCATGCCCGTATATATAACTAATAAAGCACGAATTAATGTATATTTTCTACCAAATTTAATCGTAAATGACCATGAAAAGGCAATAGCAAGAAAGAAAATAAAATAGATGGAATTGATTATACTTGGATAAACAAATGCTGCAAAGCCAACAATTATAAATTGAATGAATAGACGTATACGTCTTATAACCGATAATAATTTTGGCCAAATATTTTTTCGATTAATTATATTTAAACTACTAGTTGATGATGGTGATACACTTGTTGTATTTGATGTTGATGAAGTTTGAAGTTCAGTAACTTCACGACGTCTACTCGTTCGTAATGAACGTCGACTAATAACAAGACAAATTGTTGCTACAGCAAAGATGATAATATCAGGAAAGATTAAACGTAAAATTCGTATTGCATTGGAATTGTCAAGACTTAAATTCAAAAAAAAATAATAAATTAATTATATTCATTAGAAAATATACCGTTCTAAGCCAAAATATCGAAGAATTTGAGTAAGTTCAGTACCTAATACATAAAATAATAAGACAATTTTTTTGTTTTCAAATAATCTTTTACATACAGTTATTGAGGGTATGACCATAGGGTTTATTTGCAAGAAGAATTGATTGAAAGATTAGATGAGCAATAACAGCAAGTAGACTTATTATACCAATGATAAGAATTAGTAGACGGAAACGTGCTAGAATAATAAAAAAAATTCTTTTTCTCTAATATTTTTTTTTAATTTTTACTTCGAAGATTTCTTTCGTTGATTGTACCCAACCATGGAATGATAAGTAGAAGAAAACCATAGATAAATGAAACAATAGAAAATCGAAAAAGGGTTCCTAAAAATCATTGTTATTAATCGAATATAAATGAAGTTAGTTTTTGTTGTATTTACCACTGAGTAATGTAATAGGAAGAAGAATAAGAATTAGACCGGATAAGAGTGATCGAGCCATTATTGTTAAACGTCTGTGAATAAAAAGAAAATATAATAAAATAATCATTTATTTTTTTCTACTTCAATGATTGATGTGGTTGAATACAAAGAAATAATGATGGATATTCAATAATTTGAACCTCGATTTCATATTCTAGCGTCATCGGAATTTTTAAATGTTAACGATAATGTATAATATCGGCAAAAAAATTTAGTCACGTCTACACTACTGACTATATGATATGCTTCACCTTTTACTACTATTATTCTTTAATAATAACTATTTTCTCTAAGGTATAAATACAACAGGAAAAAAATCTCGAATGAATAGAAAAACCACATTGATACATGTGACTGAATACTCGTCACATATTTCACCTTTCCCTACGATTGTAGACATATAGTCAATCTAGCCAATATAATACTAGTAATTTTTTTCAGCTATGCCAGTTTTTCGTTCTATTCGCACTGACAACATATATCTTTTGACGTATAGAAAGAGAGGAAAAAAAGAAGAAAAAAAATATTAATTGATTCTGTGAATCAGATATATTATTAGAAACAGAAATGTTATATTCGATATTTCTGTGAAAAGATCAATGTTCCTAATAAATCTAAGAATATGGTATAGATAAAATGTTATCATGATTGATAATAAATAAAACTCCGTCATTTTAATTAAATGTCTTACTTCTCTTCGACTACTGTGGGTAATGAGGATGTTATAAAAGGATCCGGAGACATGAAACTAGGAAGATTTGTTGGAATGGTAACGATATTATTCATAGATGATGTTTGATCAGGTGACGATGAATAGAATTGAGTTTGTTTTGGTGGTACGGAATATGCACGTGCAAAATGTTGATCTTTCATGTCATCATTTTCTTGGTAATGATCAGATATTTGTCGTCTTCTCGGTTGTGGATGTTGAAGTTCAATATCATATGCATCATTTGATGATGATGATCTTGTAACAATACGTTCAGTTGAACTTGCATATATTTTATTAAAATACATAGTTATATAGATAATATATTAGAACTACGGGTGAAAGATGATCAATGAAAAAGTAACGATCGTTACAATTTCTGTTCGGTCTTTTTTTTCGATAGTAATGATGGAATATTATAGTAATGTATACAGACAGACGAATATAGGTATTGAAGAGTTGATAGATGAGAAGAGAAATAAGTATTTACAAATGATTTATGTACTCTCCTTTTTTTTCCTGTTTGTCGGTTTTTTTTCGCACCTAATGAGCGCGGGTGTAGAGTTTATACGTATTTTATATAATAACAACAGAAGTGTTCTTTTATGTTCTTTACTTTTTCGTCTTTTATGATCCTATTTTCAATATCATAAATAAATACATAAAAAAGAAGATGAAGTAATCATTTGATGATTCATAATCAACCTACTATTTATTTATCTTACCTATGAATGAAGATTTTGATTATACAAGTTGAAATATTGTGACTAGTTGTAGATGAATCATTCTCATATAAAATTATATGTGAAATAAGGGAAAGAAGGTTAATAAATGACTAATCTACAAAGACCAATAAGGAAATTGGACTTTTTTTTGATATTATTTTTTTTCTTTATGTTTCTTTTTTTAATTTATTTAATATAACAAGATGGTTTTTATTTTGTTTATTGGATCTTACAACAAAACAAATTCTAAAATAGAATATGATGATGTTTCTTTTCTTATTTGTGTGTATCATTTTATTTTCAATTATATGTCATTGAAATAAATATATATTTATTGTTGTTGTTGTGCTTGTCGAGCAAGTTTTTCAGCGACTTGTTTAGCAATTGTATCCATATTTCGTCGTCCTCCTTGTGAAAGTACACGACCACCTGATGCATGTTTTTCAATAATTTTTGCTTTTTCAAGTGATTGAAGACATTTGCGGACAACACTACGTGAACCACGTTGAAAATGTGATGGACGTACACCTTTATGTTTAAGACCACCATAGATACGTGTAAAGGCACCAACACCTGTTCGACGTAAATAAAGAAAACGTGCCATTGATGCACATCGTGTATAATACCAATCAGGATCAACAGGCGCCATTTGTTTATGGATACCTAATTTAATGATATCTGCCCAATTACCAGATGGTACATCGAGTTTGCCTGTTTTCTTAAGAAATTCGGCAAATGCAGCAGTAAATTGTTGTTGATCAACATCTTTGACGGAACCGCGATCGATTGGATCCATTGTTTTTTAGATTTGGATTCTGTTCGAAAGACGAGAATCTAAAAATCAATAAAAATCATTTTTAATCTATTAATTAATTAATATGTTCAATTGTAAAGTAATAATCAACATAACGAAATATAGATAAACGAAAATTCAAAAAATAAAGAAAAAGAAATAAACAAATAAGAAACATTTTGATTATTATCCCAATGGCTCGTTTTTCTATTAGCCATCGATCCATATACAGACATCAAACCTCTGAAGAATACTCTGGAATGTTGTAATAGTATAAATTTAAAATAAATATCATTTAAAATGAATAAAAAAAGTATTTTTATTTAAATTTTATTATTATAATGAAATATAAAAATGATATTTCATCTAAATTCTATAGATGTCGTTAGTAATCATTTCCTTCTATTCTGCAAATATATGATATTTATTGAAATAGGAAATTTCGAATCTTATTATTTTGTTTCCCAAAGTTAATAATACCCGATTAATTTTATATTATCAGTATTAGTTAAAAATAGTAATAATTTGTCTATTCTTAAAAGAATAAAATATAGTACTTCATCTACTTCAAGCAAAATTTGAAGTATGGATGAAGTAGAAGTGAAACAATTTGAAGGACAGTGAATTAAAATAAAATACAAATGAGATCACATTCTTTTTCATCATGATTTCAATCATACTTCTTTTAGAAAGAATTACATACACTATCATCATCTGTTAAAAAGAGTCCAGTCTATAGTAGTAAATAACTATGAAGTATATACCGCATATCTTATAGTATATTCACCTTGAATAATAGATCAAATTTAGGACATTACAAGGAAAAAGCTGCATGTTTACTTTTCTACAATGAACAATGTAATCTAAGTAAACTTCTTTTTTTTGCTTTGTATATGTTAGTATCAGTATTCCGAGATACCATACTTCAGTTGGTCTTCATATATAGTTTATACTTTATAAGTTAGGCAAAACGTCTCCTACAAATATAATTGTAAACATAAACTAAGTAAGTCTTCAATTCATTCGATAAACAAATATTATTAATTTTTCTATTTTTCGTATAAATGTATAATAATATTTAGTCTTGTTTTTGTTTTTTATCTTCTAGATTAACACGTTCTTCATAATCCATTGTATAAAGAATCTATTTTCAAGATCATTCTTTTTATATATTTAATCTTATCATGAATATATACATCGGTAAGTATATCTAGATTTTTTTTCAAATGATAATCGAAAGACATATAATTAGTAATACCTATATCTTTTAATGCAACGAATTTGTATGTATATAATATGATTGTCCTTGATGACTAGACTGAAGTATAAGAAACAAGAGAGAATCAAAATCTTAGAATCGTTTTGATTGAAAACTCATTGAAATTTAAACCTTGAGAGAAAAAAAATCCCTCGAGAACGATTCAATTACAATACTGTTTCTACTGACTTTGTCTGATCAATAGACATAACTGAATGTGAATTAAAAAAATATTTTCATATTAACTTCAATACATTTTCTACCAAATGAATATTTTTCGTATGCTCCATACAATCCTTTCTCTTTTTTTTTTCTCTTCATATCACTCATATTCATACCTTCAATACATATATAGAGCATAAATATTTTTTAACATTTTCTTTTCTTTTTTTTATGCCTGTTACCAATACACATGATTAGTTTTACATATTCTTTTACATCAATATACATATAGATTTTTTTTTCTTCTTCTATTTCGATTAAAAACTTTTCAATTACCAAAAAGAAAGATACTGTTTCTTAAATTAACATCTTAGAAAAACTGTATCATGTAGATAAAACGATTGAGTAAGGCCCCTATCGTTCCACTTTGGCATTGGTTTAGTATTTTAGTATGTCATTGGCTCGACCGGAACTTCTGCATAGAGTGATTCATCAGCCAATGGAATAAAATTTAAAAAAAAATGGTTTGTTCTTCTTCATAATATCTCTTGTGCTTATTTATCTTATTCAAGTGATCATCGATTAGAATTGATTGATTATTGTAATGGGGAATTATTGTATTATAACCATTTGATTGTTCAAGTTCTCTTCAAATATATATTGCATATATCCGATTGATTTATGTTATTTTTAGTCAAGAATGATGATGATCGATACAGCAACTCTTACAATTCTTAGTGGATTTACTATTGTTTGTCTTATTTTCTTTTATTTAATGAAAAATAAAAGTTCATCGAACAATATTGAAAAGAATAAACAAACAAATATAATAATTACATTAAAAAATCCTGATGATAAATATAAATTTATATTAGCTCATAAAGAACATATCTCTCATGATACATGTCTCTTTCGTTTTCAACTTCCATCATTAAAACATGTTCTTGGTTTACCTATAGGTCAACATATTTATATTACAGCACATATTAATAATGAACTTATTAAACGACCATATACACCAATAACATCTGATGATAATCAAGGTTATTTTGATCTTGTTATTAAAATTTATCCTAATGGTAAAATGACTCAATATCTAGATAAATTTACTATTGGTGAAACAATTAATGTTAGTGGTCCATCAGGTAATCTTATTTATAAAACTAAAGGTTTATTTGATATACGTTCACGTAAACCTGAACCATTTGTTACTCGACATGTTCGTCAACTTGGTTTAATAGCTGGTGGTTCAGGTATAACACCAATGTATCAAATATTGAATGAAATACTAAAAGAACAAACATCTATTGTATACGGTGAACATGTTGATATAAAAATTTGGCTTCTATTTGCTAATCAAACTAAGCGAGACATTTTATTACGTGATGAAATAGAACAGTTGGCTGAATCTTACAGTGATCGTTTTAAATTATGGTATACTGTTGATCGTGAAAGTGAAGAATGGAAATATTCAAAAGGTTTTATTAATGAAACGATGTTAAGTGAGCACATGCCACCTCCAGGTGACGATGTTTTAATATGTATTTGTGGGCCACCGCCAATGATTAAATTTGCATGTATACCAAATCTAGATAAACTAGGTTATACTGAAAGTATGCGGTATACATTTTAAAGCCAGAAGAAGAAGAAGAAGAAGAAGAAAGAAAAAAGCATTTAGATGTTTTCATATTTGCATTTTTGTAGTCGTGTTAAGTGTTTGCAATTATTATTTTTCATTTCATAGGAGAATGATATAGGTTCAAAGTGAGAGAGAGAGAACAGAAGACAGACTAATTTATTTGATTGCTAATTAATTTCCACTTTTTTTTCAGATACATATCTCTTATATATGTTACAATTTGTTTACTGGAAAGATCGATATCGATTGTATGTATGTATACTATTTATTACATATTCGTTTTTTTTTTCATAGAAAAGACAGGAGTACACTAGAATATTGTAATGACAATTTGTGTTGAACATGTAAACATATAGATTTGTTTATATGTCTATTAGGCAGGTAAAGGTCATCTGCACAATGTAAATGAAGTCATTGTTCTATACGTATATCAGATATGTAACGTTATATACTTTGCATAGCTTGTAAAATACATAAAATAGCATTGTTGTCTCTAATCGATACTTGAAATAGATTTAATATGAATGTGTATCTCTTAACATTCTCTTTTGTAGATGAATATAGTAGGTAGAACTATTCCCTAAGGACACAAAGAAGAAAAAAAAGTAACAAGAAGAATAAGAATAAGAAGAGTATTATTTTAAGCAACCATGCTTTGATCTTGCTTGAACAGAGATTACATTGCAAACAAGTACATTTATAGAAAGATTGTCTATTGTATCATTGACTGATGTCTACAATAGTTGTCTATACAGGTAGTCGAAAATACGCAAATATTGATGTCGACTAAAGATAAAGTATAAGAATCATATATATATTATTGGAAAGAAAAACGATAGTAATTCAGAAGAAGAATAAGAGTTACACGTGTATATACATATTAAATTTCAAATAACATTCTCTTAAAGATATCTGTATGTATATATTTTTTTGATTAAACAATAGTAATATTGATGATGAGAATTGTTCCTTTTCTTTCTCTTTCTTAAAACTTTGTATGGACGAACAGCAAACGGTCGAGTAGGTAGGTGATCGAGGTAGATGTTAACCTTTCTTCTTTCCGTTCTCACTCTTTCTCTTCGTTCTACATAAATCGGCATGAAAAGAGAAAAAGAAGAAGAAGACGACGATGAAGAAACAGAGAGAGAGAGAGGCAGAGAGACGAGAAAGGGAGGGAGGGAGGGAGGGAGAGAGAGAGAAAAAAAGAGAACTATACATTTAGAATTTGTGTTCGAAAGAGTTGCGCTAGAATGAAGGTCAATATTACCAGCTCATAAACATACACTATGCATTTATATGAATGCAGAGGTGGTCTTAGAATTCATTTGACAAGTGCCCATATATATTACATATAAAAAAGGAAGAAAGAATCATATTTTCTTACATATTCGCGTCATTGATTAAGTAGTGTTATGTTGTTGTTGTTGTTTGTAGACAGTTGAAGGGCCCCTTACCGACGTGAACGACGAAGGATGTGAATTATCGTAATGCGTGATCAACAATCGTCGTCTCCTATCGAATTATTCGTATCATCAACTGAAATGGCCTCTACACCACCATCTACAAATAATAATGTTAATGGTAAGATGAAAAATAATATAATTCTTAAATAGATGATCAAAAACTCATTTATGATTATAGAACTATTACCCGGTCTTGAAACATTTCTTCGTTCAATGGTAAATAGCACAAATTTAGATCATGATCATCGTCAAATTGCTGCTATGTATGTTGATAAACTCGATGAACTTAGTAGACCAACAAATCCACAACCGACACCGGTTGTTGATGATCAATCAATGTAAATGATATCAAATATATATATGATAGTTCATAGAGTAAACTATTTTTCTTTTGTCTTTAGAATTAATACAGATAATGCATCTGAAGATGAAAGTGATGATTTTACGGATGAAGAAGAAGAAGAACGTAAGAAAGAGCTTGAAGAACAACAAAGATTACAGCAACAGCAACTACAACAACATCATCAATCCACACCAGCTATTATACGCCGTGCATCAGCTAGTGATAATCAAATATATAATGCTACAAGACTTAAATCAGGTGATGGAAATAGTCAATGGTATATAGATGTACCAAAAAATACTTATTTAGAAGCATTATCACCACAATCTTCCAATGGTAATCTATTTTCAATTAGTAAAAAAATAAAATAATTGATCCTTGTCTTTTTTTAAATAAAAATTTAGGACACAATGATATATTACCATCCAAATCACCAAGTCGTTTATCAATTTCAACACCAACTTCAACTATAATAGCTAATGGACTTCTATTGACTTATGATGAAAATCACAATTGGATATGGCGTTATTATGTTCTCGATGATTTTGATCTTATCTGTTTTTCAGCTGATAAAAAATCTTTATCAACAAATCAAATACAATCAGATAATGATTGTTCACCATTGTGGGTGTCCGATATGACAAATGCAAAAGTGCATACAACAGTTATAGATAAATATGACTGTTTATGTCTACAAATTGGCCTTGCTGAAGCTATTTATGTTCGACCAGCTGATCCAAATCAATTAAATAGTTGGCTTAAAGTAATTTGTTTATTTATAGTTTTGTATATTAAATTAAATTTCTTTTTCTTTTTAAAAAGTCATTTCGAGATGCAACATCAGCACAAAAATCAAAAGATAATTCCAAAGGTCGAAGTAATGTGAAAACACTTTCACGTAATGCACGTCGTATGTTTGCTCAATTTAATCGTAAGAAAGGTCAGATTGTATCACATTTACTTGATCAAATGGCTAATGTAACAGGTGTTGATGAAAAAACACGAAAACATTGTCAATTACGAGGTATATTACTTAATCAATTAATTCCATTTTCTATTGTTCTGTTCAAATCTAGGTTTTCTGGTTGTATCAACAGATAATATAACATTTGTTACAAAATATTGTACTATAGTTGATGGCATTTTTCGTATACATAAATCACGTTTAAGTGAACAAACTGATCATGAATTATGTTTAAATCGTTGTAAATTATCATTTCCTGAAGAGCGTACACGTGATATACAATTTGCATTAATTGACGAACAAGCTGGAACAATATTTATACGAGGAAATAATATATATAGTATGGGAAGATTATTAAATACATTGGCAAAATATGTTGAAATCAAGGGTAGTTCACAATTTATTTTTACATCTGGTGGAAGTGAAACATCAACACCATTAAGTAAACATCGACAATCATCGACAAGTTCATCACAACCACATATTTATTCTGATGTTGATAATTTATCGCCACCAGTAAATATATGTCAATCAACTGGTAAAACAAAAAGAAAAAGATTCCTAAAGATTTATATAGAAATATATATTATTTTATTTAGATGTTTATTCTTTATCAAGTGTGAAATCAATTCCTACTCCTCCAACTCCAACAGCAATTGCAAAAAAAACAATTTATCATAATGCATCAAAATTACATGATAATGAAAATGATGATCGAGCAATTATTATACCAGTACGTCGAGGATCAAATGAAACATATGATCTACCAAAATCCTATGATAATGTTGCATTTATTTCTTCAACAGTTGATCGAAATAACAATCATGTTATTGTACCACCACCATCATCATCATCACAACGACGTGATAAAATCAAAAATAACGATGAACATATGTAAGAATTAATTATATTTACTATTTATTTTGTACATTATATATTCTATTTAGTCGTTCGGAATCACGTTCATCAAAAAATAATGCATTATATTCTCATCGTTCAAAATCAAAATCATCACATAAAAATATTACTAATGATCCACCATCATCTCCTGAAAATACAGTTTTTTGTTTACGTCTATCTGATAATTCTTCCTCTCAACATCGAAATTCTCGTCGTCGTCCTTTAAATCCATTAACACATCGTTCACCAACAACACATACAACTCCAACAGAATATGTTAATAAACTTGCTAATCTTTTTACAAAATCATTTTCGTCATCATCATCATCAGTACCACAAACACCAATTTTGAATGAACATCATATAAGTACACAAACATATGATACAGTTGCACCTTCACCACACCCATTACCACGTTCAAATAAAAATCCTATGCAAACATCAATCATTACCGATGATCAACATTCACCATATAAAGAACAAGTATAATAATTAAATAGCAAAATTCATATAATATATATATATATATCTGTTTCTATTTTAGTCAATGCCTAGACGTATTTATGATATTCCAATAACTATTGAACGTCCAAATAAATGTGTTATTACAACATTTGAACAATATCAAAGACCAATAATACGAAATTCTCGATCTGCTGAATTAATATCACCAGTTGGAATAAATCAAAATCAAAATCACAATCAAAATAATGAAGAAGAAGAAGAAACATTATATGATCAAGGTTATGATAATTTACCAAAAAATGATGGAATTGGAAAATTTCGTTTTGTTGTTCCATTTAATCATAGTCCAACATCTGCTTTTATATCATCAAAACCAACAATGAATTCAACAGGTTCAACAATTACAACGATTCGTCATATATCAACGAATAATAACTCAAATTTATCTAATAATAATACGAACACTCGATCAACATTGATGACGGCTGTTTAAAATCTTTTCTTTTCCTCACATTTTTTTTGTTTTGTTTTTATCTTTCAAGTACCGAGCTTACTTTATACATTGTAACAGTATCATCCTTTATATACGTTCTTTTTAAGTCTTTTTCCTATTTAAGTCGTTTCTTTACTTTTTTTTGTTTTGTTGCTTGATTTATATTTAGTGATAGAGCTTGTGTTTGCACTAGTTCTTTTTTGTTTTTGTCTATAATCAACATAATGTTATATGTTGATATGATGTACATTTTGATAAAAACAAACTCAGAATGATACATAGAAAAAAAGTTACAAAAAAAAAAACAAAACGAATTCTATCGCAGAATTTTATTCTTTTTTGTCAGATAGATAAATAACGTTTATGAAGAGATAGATAGAATAATTGGAACAGTTAAAAAGCTATATGTCCGGTTGTGAATGTGTTTATCATTTTCTCTTTTTATCTTTTCATATAAGAAAAAAAAACAATTCCATCTTTATATGTTTTTTTTTATTCGTAATAAAATATAAACAACGCTAAAAACATTTATTTATGTTTTTAATGTATGTTTTAGATTATATCTTGTTTTATCATTAATATCAATTAATATGGTAAGTATTTATATCAATCTTTCATTTTTATAAGATAAGAAAAACTATCGATAGACATGCATCGAACCCTATGAAATTATACTTCATTTTTTTTTATTTAGCTTCAATTTATACTCTTATTCAGTCGACAAGGTAAACTGCGTCTACAAAAATGGTACACAACACAAACAGATAAATCTAAAAAGAAAATTACACGTGAATTAATTGCAGCAGTTCTTTCACGTAAACCAAAAATGTCTAGTTTTCTTGAATGGAAAGATTTGAAAGTTGTGTATAAACGGTAGATAACAAAAATGTTCTTTTTTCTCTCTTCATATTCTTGTCTTTCTAAAGATATGCTAGTCTTTATTTTTGCTGTGCTGTTGAACAAGATGATAATGAATTATTAACACTTGAAACAATTCATCGTTATGTTGAATTACTTGATAAATATTTTGGCAGTGTAAGTTAAATCTCTATCGACATATATATTTATATAAAACTTTTAATTATTAAATAGGTTTGTGAACTTGATATAATTTTTAATTTTGAAAAAGCTTATTTCATTTTTGATGAATTTATATTGGGTGGTGAAATACAAGAAACAAGTAAAAAAAGTGTACTCAAAGCAATTAATGATCAGGATGTTATTCAAGAAGTAAGTTATTTATAGAAAAAATATTTTATTTGAATTTTAAAAAACGGAAGAGGCTATTCACACACATACATAAAATACTGTAACGAAACAAAAAAGATTCAGATTTTCGAAAAGCACCTTTACTATATATATCATTCACAGGATGATCAATTACAAGAAATACTTTATGAATACGGATTGATATGATTTTTTTTTGAAAATTTATTTTCATTATAATCATTATTTTGCATATAAACTATAATGAACGGATGCTTGACTTTTATTTTAATTCTTCTTCTTATTCTTATTCTGAATATGATTATTGATAAAGAAAAAAAATAAAATAATTCAATCTTATGCATATTGCAATGCTTTAAAGCTTTTTTTCTCCTATGTATCTCTCTATTTCTAGGAAGAAACGCCACAGGGCTTCTTTGAAGATCATGGTCTTGGATAATGAAATCTGCTATTATAATCATATAATGACACACACGCTTTTGCATGTGTTTTGCATTTTTCATTTCTTTCTCTTTGTCTTTTTTTTCTGCCACTTATAATTATATTTTTAATCATTGATCTGCGTTTTTATTGTTTGGTCAGATTAAGTATTTCCAACAAATTGCTTATTTTCTTTTCTTCTCAATGTTGTCTTTCCCAACTAATGCATTTGCCTCCTTTTCTTGTCTTCTTTGTTGTTTTTTTTTGTATTTCAAAAATATAAATATATATATGAATGAAATAAAAGAACATAATATATGCATGAAAATCATCATGATCTATGCTTTTAATATATATGTATGTGCGTGTGTGAATATGCTTTGTTGATATTAATATTATGTTCATTTAAAAAAATTTGTCAATAATAATAATTTTTCTTCATATTTTAGGAGGAACTTGAAGAAAAACGTAGTGTACTCGAAGATCTTGGCTTGGCATAATGAATAAAACAAACATATTTCGTTTTTCTTTTCATATACATGTGCATTCATTCATTTATCTTCCTTCGTTATTTATTCCCATGATTCGTTTTAATTATATAACTATTGTAAAACCAAAGAATGTAAATTTATAGAACCTGATCTTTTACATTGTATAATAAAAGTTGATTATCTTATTGATTAGAATCTATTTTTCATTACTTAGATGATTCGACGTTTATCAACTAAAAGATTTTATCATTCATTGAGAATATTAGGTATTGAAACGAGTTGTGATGATACAGCAGCAGCTGTTGTTAATAGTGAACGAACTATTCTAAGTCAAGCATGTCGAAGTCAATTGAAATATCATCAACCATGGGGTGGTATTGTGCCAAGTATTGCAAAAAATCATCATTATGAAAATTTAGTACCAGTTGTAGCTGAAGCTATGAAAGATATTGAATGGAATGTAAGTCATTCAAAATATCAAAATCGATTTTTGAAACAAGAATATAAGATGCTTTTATAGATAGGTATGCATCGAAAAT